TCAGACATCAACAGGCTCCTTCATAGGGTGCCCAGCTAAGTGAGAAAGCTGAGGGCAAGAGGCCCCGGCAGACCCGAGTCAGACTGGCCACCGCCGCAGGCTGTGAGGTTTGCAGCCCAGTCACTTCAACTGAGTGGAATCAACTCTACTAACCGGGCCAACCTAACTGTAGTGTGAAGAAGAAATTCGACTGAGTCGTGGGTAGGGTGGAGAGTGACTCCGCTCCCCGGCCCTCCTCGGCTGTGTCTCAGTACCTCTGCAGGAAGGTGCCCAGCGAGGTGCATGTGTCTGCACCCGAGTCAGCAGGTGGGTCTCCTGAACCGTGTTCCAGCCTGGGTACCTGTTGCCCTCCATTCCTCCCCTGGAACAGACTCTGCTCTGCCTCCCTCTCTCGCCAGCCAGCAAGTCCTGGACCGCCAGAGCCTTAGCGGCGCCTTCTCAGCCTTCTTTTCCATTTTACCTGAAAACTACATTTTCTAGATTTGAGATGAAGTTTTTTTTTTTGTTGGTTGAATCTAAAATTCTACCTTTTGCCTCAAAGGTTATGATTGTCACTCTGCTGGTGGCCTCATGGAGTCCCAGACCTGGACACGACTGGCCTCTATGTGTGGCTGTTTCACGCTCTCAGCAGCCACACCCCAGACTTCTCCCGAGTCCACATCTCGTGAGTCTATGAGCTTTTCAGTGGCTTTAGCCCCAGATTCTGCTAAGTTCAGTTGTTATTCCCACCCCAGAGGGATTGCCATAAGCGTCATCTCTGGCACACTATGACCACTGTGTGACCTTGGACATCAAAAGAACAACAAAAGGGAAGGGGAAAGAGAGAAAAATAGATACAGGGGCTTGAGTGATAGCACAGCAGGGAGGGGGTTTGCCTTGCACGCAGTCAAGCCGGGTTCGATTCCCAGCATCCCATAGGATCCTCCGAGCATCGTCAGGGGTAATTCCTGAGTGCAGAATCAGGAGTAACCCCTGAGCATTGCCGGGTGTGACCCAAGGAAAAGAAAAAGTATTCAAACAGCCAACTCCAGCATATCATTCCTTGGAAATTATTTCAAAAAAAATTAAAGGGAGATAGAGAGAGAGAATTTCTATTCTATGTCCAGAGAGGACATCTTATTATCTAGTTCTTACTAGAACATCTTATTATCTAATTCTTACTCTGGAGAACCCGGCAGGCTACTGAACGTATCCTGCCCGCAAGGCAGAGTCTGGCAAACTCCCCGTGGTGTACTTTCATTTCATTTTCATTTCATTTCATCATCCTGTTAATCGTCGATTGCCTCGAGCAGGCCCCAGTAACGTCTCTTTCATCCTAGCCCTGAGATTATATTCAAGGCTCTTTAGGAGAATGAGACCCATCATTGTTACTGGTATTTGGCATATTTGGTACGCCATGGGGAGTTTGCCAGACTCTGCCCTGTGGGCAGGCTACATTCGATAGCCTGCAAGTTTGTCCAAAGTAGGAATGAGATAATAAGATGTCATAAAGAAAAGTTATGATAAGATGTTGCGCGGCCGCAAATGCGGCCGCGTGGTTCCGGGATCTGGATTTTATAGTCTCTGAGTCTTGGCCGCTGATGGGATTACACGGCGCCAGGGGGCCAGGTGGTGGGTGTGACCCCCGCCTACTGGAATTTGGAGGATCTGGGTGGAAGATGCTCGACTCCAATTCGAGTAGGCTTGGAGGTCTCGGCCCCGGACTTATATGCCAAAAACCAGTAACAACGATGGGTCTCATACTCCTGACCCTGAAAGAGCCTTGACTATGGCACTTTCTAAAATCTCAGGGCTAGGATGAAGGAGACATTACTGGTGCCTGCTCAAGGACATCAAAGAACAACAGGATGACTGGGATACTGTGCAGAGAGGAGAACTGAACAGTATGTGCCGTGCCACAACAATAGGGGGTGTGTTTGTTTTTTATTTATCTGTCACAGAAGAGGTAAGAGGGAGGCTCTGGGGAGAGGAGCAGGAATGTTGAACTGGAGCTTTGATGCGATTACACAACACCCAGGGTCTCTGCCAGGAACCCAGTGCTGCTCCCCCCAGAGGCCTGGTCATTCACAAGCTCCTCCCGCCTGGGAGAAATGATTCCCTTCAGATGGGGAAGGCGGGGCTAAATTCCATGGCAAAAGATGAAATAAACATTATTTAAAAGGGAAAACTGCTCGCACAGTAGGCAGACCTCTCAGGTCTGCAGCCCGCGAGCTGGGGGGAGGCGGGGAGGGTGACGGAGCAGACGCAGAGCCCGAGGGAGGAACAGCTTGAACCCAGACAGTTTGTGTTCCTGGAGCAATTTGGGAAATGCCCACGTGTGGCACCATTACTTAGCATCCAATATTCGGTGTGAATTCTCTGCAGCCCGAGAGGTGGCAAGGGTTGAGACGTGGCCGGTATGGGTGTGCAGTGCTGTCTGCTCATGCCTCCCTTGTTTACTTTATGGAGTAATAGAAAATGAACACATTGAGGAGGAAATCTTCTGTGTCATCACCGATTACCTAAACCTGTGTGTTTACTTTTTCAGTACATTTTCACACACATAAACTTCTGTGCTCAGGGGAATTGTTTAGAAAAGTAGCACTTTTCTAAACTAATAAGAACAGGCTACATTAAGGTCACACCTAGCAATGCTTTGGGGACTGTGAGGAACTGAGGATGCATGCAGACCTTGAACTATCTCCCCTGCCCAAATTTTGGAATATTTTTGGTGCTTTGGCCACGAGCAGTGATTCTCAAGGCTTACTCTTGGCTCTGTGTTCAGGGATCACTACTGGTGGGCTCAGGAGACCATATGGGAACTGAGAGATTAGGCCTGGGTCAGCTGTGAGCAAGGCAAGTGACCTACCCACTGTCCTATTACTCTGGCCCCCACGTTTTTGAATCTTGTGAACGATATGGAAGAGACGGGGAAGTTGAGATGGGAGGAGAGTCTTGGAGGAAGATTTTAATCCACAGGGAGATGATAGAGCCTGACTTACCCCATAGGGGCACATTTTACTGCTAACTTCTGGTATCTCTACTGGCAAAAGATTTAGTTGTAGATCAACATTGAATTGCCATACTTAGGTAGACATACATATGTATATAAACAATACAAGGTCTTGGCACCATGAGACATGATCTTTGAAAGTTATTTACAGGTTTAAGTATCATTGCATCACTGTATCACTGTCATCCATTGTTGATCGATTTACTTGAGAGGGCACCAGTAACGTCTCTATTCATCCCAGCCCTGAGATTTTAGCAGCCTCTCCTTACTAGTCTTTCCCAATGCTGCCATATTGGAGGCTCTATCAAGGTCAGGGGAGTAAGACCCGTTATTGTGATTGTTTTTGGCATATCAAATACACCACGGGTAGCTTACCAGGCTCTGCCGTGTGGGTGGGATACCCTTGGTAGCTTGCCCGGCTCTCCGAGAGGGAAATACTGCCTCGCTTTCTTCTGGGAGCTTTGTTTTATAGTCTCTGGATCTTGGCTGTTGATGAGATTACATGGCGCAGGGGGCAGTTTGTGGGTGTGATTGCCAAGCTACTGGAAATCTGGGGGTCTGGGTGGAGGAGACCCAGTCCAGATCCAAGCCGACTTGGAGATCACAGCCATGGGAGCCATGGGTCCCGCATACTTGGGTTTCTCTGCCAGTTCCTTCCTGTGTGAGGCTCATCCTAGCAGGTGGAAAGTGGCCTTGAACATGGCTGTGGCTGTGTTCTGGAGGTTTTCGGCTGCCAGGGTTCTACTTGTGGCGGAGAGGGAGACTCAATTCACCCGCTCCAAGTGTCCCCAGTGAAGATAGCTTGGTGCAGAGGCAGGAGATTTAAGTAAAAGTTCAAATGGTGTTAAGGTTATCTGTGAGGCAACTTCTACACAGGCCTGTATCTGAGGCTTGGGTTACCAGTTCAGAGGAGAAGCTCTTAGGCAGGCAGATTTGCCACAGCCGAACTTGGTGTCTCACAGCAATGTCTTGTTTTTCCACTCTGCAGGCTCCTGCCAAGGTCACTAGAGCAATAACAGTGGCTGTTACCTCATTACTGACTTACTCTGCGAGGCAGTAGTCCATGGTGTGAAAAGGCCTTTGAGCTGGCTCTGTCTCCCTTGTAGGCCAGCCAGGGTGTGGGGTCCCAAAATAGCACGGTGAGGGATACGGAAGTGAAGAAAAACCCTACAGAGAAGCCCTACGGAGAGCTTAAGGTGCATGTAGGGCCCAAATGAAAAAGCAGATGCAGAGCAGACAGTGTCTCATGAGTTCTTTTGTCCCCGAAGATAGTTGTGGATGGAGGTTTTCTACCTGTGGAAGTGACCACCTGGAGTGCCCGCTGCTGAGTGGAGGAGCCTTCCCGTGTGTGATTGTCTACAGGGTCCCAGGAGGCTGCCTCAGCCCCAGGCCTTCAGGGAGGAGGAGAGAGAGGGAGGCTTGCACTTGCCTCCACCCCAGATGGCGCCTTGTTTTGTTGCTTGGTTGGGAAGAGGCAGCCTCAGCCATAGTGCAGCAGGTGGGCGTTTGCCTTACACAAGGCTGGCCATACATTCCCCGGGCCCCACAGGAGTGATTCCTGAGTGCAGAGCCAGGAGTAACCCTGAGTATCGTTGGGTGTGACCCAAAAAACAAACAATCAAAGAAACCAAACAACAACAAAGCTATATCTGGGGGACAGCCAGAGGCAGGGAAGGCTGGACAGCACCTGGGGTCCCGGCCCCTGTGGTCCTCCCATTCCCACTCTGAAGTGTAAGTAATTTCTGCCTGCAGCCTTAGTTTGCACCTGGCCCTGGGAAGATGTTCCTGTTTCCCTCTGCCCTTACCCGATCTCAGGGCCTGGGTCACGCTTTGCCGCTCCCCTCCTCCTTCCAATCACAGCCACTCTTGCTTTCCCATTCTGGACTCAGATCCAACCCTCGTCTGACTGTTTTCTGAGAAAATAGAAGTTCCTTGAAGTCAGGAATCTTTTGTTTATTATAAAATCTGTTGACAGGGCAACAAATACATGTTCGGAGACAGCAAAAAGTCCAGAAAGAACAAGCTTTTTATTGCATTTGGAGATAGTGTTCAAAATACAGATCTTTTCTTGAGAGCAGGAAAGCATTAAAATGCACACCATAAGCTTCTGTGTACTAATCAAAAACAAACAAATTCTAGGGAGATAGACTAGGATTCAGAGCTGTAATTAAGAGAAATGGTTGATCTGGAATTTTTTTCCCAAAATGTCCATGGGTGCTGGAGCACCCAGTCCCCGAGTAAGCAGGCACTCCCTGGGGTTCCAGCCACGCTGCGGCTGCCCACTGTTCCTCATTCTCATTCCTACACTTCAGCCCACCGTATTACCTCCCAATCATCATAGACCTTATTTTCAGCTCAATGTAACAATTAAGATGATATCATCAACAAAGCACATTCATGAGCAAAAATGCCAGATTTTCAAAATATTCTCTCAGGGATTGTTTGGGTTTCACTATTAATATCTGAATTTCATGTTTTGTCATGTGAAATCGTGAAACTACTTATATTTAAGAGAGTATACATTTATACATTTATTATTTATAGAGGTGATTTACATATTCATTTTATACTAGTCCTTCAAATAGTAGCACTGTAGGACTGTTCTCCTGTTGTTCCTCAATTTGCTCGAGCGGGCACCAGTTATGTCTCCATTGTGAGACTTGTTACTGTTTTTGGCATATCGAATACACCACGGGGAGCTTGCCAGGCTCTGCCATGAGGGCGGGATACTCTCGGTAGCTTGCCGGGCTCTTGAGAGGGACGGGGGAATCAAACCCGGGTTGGCCGCATGCAAGACAAATGCCCTACCCGCTGTGCTGTTGCTCCAGCCCATTCAAATAGTACAAAAATAATATAGATACTCCCTTCTACCATAGGTAAAAGTGACATATTTGCCTAAAAATATATTTCATTAGAAGTTTCAGACACTCTCCACTTAATAAATCTCAATCTCCTTCCCTAGATGTATCGTTACCCACAGGCTTTGGTAGATTTATAGAAAAGAAAACGCAGAAAATGGAAATAGAAGCAGAATCATTGTTTTTGCAAAATATCCATGTGTGAATGATGACGGCATCTTTGAAAACCAGAGTTAGTGGTGTAATTCAGCAGATGTTCCTCATGGCGGAAGGCTAGGAGGTTGCTCCCAGCAAAGGCAACCTTCATGTGACCTCAGAATGTCAGGACCGTACGGATGCTGAACAAAAAAGAGAAAATATGAAGTTTTTAATGTTGATATGTTGCAGAGTCTTCCAGGGGCGTTTCCCAGGAGAAGGCTGGTGCCTTAACTGCTGCACTCTCTCCTGGCCCTGAAATTTCTGTCAACTTTCCCCTATACACACATAATTTCCCCTATATACTCATATCAAATATTTGGGATTGTATTGTAGAGAGGAGTTTGTGTTTTCAATTCTCGAACCCAGGAAAACTTTTTAAAACTGACATCATTGATTTTTCTTGAATTTACTTAACTGTCCCTTAATGATGAATTTTATGGTTTCTATATTTTTATGTTATAATAACTAATGTTTGAGAGGACATTTGTTCACTCACACTTCTTTATCCTTGCAGACTAGATTTCAGGCATAAAATTTATGTAACAAAAATATAGATTTTCTGGTTGAATTTCTGATGCAAATAACAAAAGTGCCTTGTAAGAAGGATGTAACCTGCATATCTGAGAGGCTAGATATCTCCTTCTTCCTAAATTCCTTCCTGATCAATAATGTTCAGTAGACTGAGTGTCCAGAATAGTTTACCTTTTTCCAGAACGAAGCAGCTCAAATCCTTCATTTATTTTTTCAAAAGGTAAAACATGGGTTATTAACAAATCCACTGGAAACTTCTTAGCCATAAAATCTTCAACAAGTTTTGGGACAGAATCTTTACTCTTAAAGCCTATTTGGGTGAAATGATACCATTGTTAGATTCAGAGAGGGGTTTGAGTGTAGAAGATCTAAGGGAGATTTCTACTAGAATTTAAATGAAGTTTATAAAAGGTGCCACAAGCCTCATATTCCTGTTGTTGAAGCTGATAAATAATCTGCTCCAAGACCTTTTTCTGGTGCTTTGACTTGGTTCTTAATTGCACTACACAACCTCAACCCAGACCCTCAGTTATTTGTCTTTTTACAGAGAAATTATAATAGACATGGTTATTCCCGGAAACAAGGAGCAAATTCAGCACAGATCTGGGCAATGAGTGTGGACATGGATTACAGTGATATGTTTCCTGGTCTCACTTCGTGCGGAAGTCTTGGTGCCAGAGCTTGCTGTGAGTGACATTAGCCTCTTTAGCTTATGGCGAAGCCAGGCTAGTCTGTCTCAAGAACTTTTGTGCATACCACTTTACATCTATCTATCTATCTATCTATCTATCTATCTATCTATATTTATTTAAATTTTAGTTTTTAAACATGTTTCTTTTTAAAACTTGGTATTGTCACTTTTTTTTTTTTTGGCTTTTTAGGTCACTCTTGGTGAGGCCCAGGGGTTACTCCTGGCTCTGCACTCAGGAATCACTCCTGGAGATGCTTGGGGCATGATATGGGGAGCTGGGAATTGAAACTGGGTTGGGTGTATACAAGACAAACACCCTACCTGCTGTGCTATTGCTCCAGCCCCTGGTCTTGTCACTTATTAAGGGAAAGAGGTCCTGAAGTTTTGTTATAAAGTTCGGCCCTCATGCTTAACTGTAGCACTGTAGCACTGTTTACTGTCCTGCTGTTGTTCATCGATTTGCTCCAGTGTGCTCCAGTAACATCTCCATTTTGATACTTGTTGTTACTGTTTTGAATAAATACTCCACGGGGAACTTGCCAGGCTCTGTTGTGCAAGGGGGATACTCTCGGTAGCTTGCCGGGCTTTCCGAGAGGGTTGGAGGAATCTTACCCGGATCGGCCATGTACAAGACAAACGCCCTACCTGCTCTGCTATCGCTCCAGCCATTAACCACATACCACCAAAAAGAGTTCCTTTCAATGTGCGTCCCGTCAGCAGCAGCATGGGGTTCAGAGAGAGCTTCTCTGAGTCAGCAACACCTCCAACAATGACGCTTACTCCATACGAGTCCTGACAGCACATCAAGGCAGACATCTGGGGTAAAATGAACATGTCACTCTGACTGGGATGGACTTTGGGTATGTGGAGAGAGGAGAGCATTCTTTGCTCTCCATTGTTCTCTAAAGCCTGTAGCTCTGACAGCAGGAAATGTCCAGGAGATACTGTCTGGCTTTTGTTTCAATGATGCTGGGAACTCAACTTAGTGCTCACACATGCAGGATCACTCAACAGGTGATCGACATACCCAGAATATGTTTTATAAGTGAGACAATGGATGAACAAATTTCAGTGAACTTAATTCTATTTACAACTATCATCACAAACATAAAAATATCCAGAGAATCTGGTTCTACAATTAAAGGTAATGCTTTTCATCACATGTCTCTCAGCCAATCAGTGAGTTCAGTCATTTTTCATTATTCATTCATTGAACATTGTGAACTCAGTACTTTGAATCCCCTCTCGGAGAGCCCAGCAAGCTACTGAGAGTATCTCGCCCACACGGCAGAGCCTGGCAAGCTCCCTGTGACGTACTCGATATGCCAAACACAGTAACAACAAGTCTCATGATGGAGACGTTACTGGGCCTGCTCGAGCAAATCGATGAACAACGGGAGGACCGTGACTGTGACCGTGACCGTGAACTCAGTACTTTGAATCAGGTATTGTACTACCTAACAGCTCTATCATCATTCCCCCCTCATGTCCACTGTTTTTATAGGACCCACCCTCAGCTACACTCAGTGGTCCATCCTGGGATGGTTTGCTTGAGGGTTAGTTGCCTGGACAGGAAATGTTTAGGAGCCGCTTGGCATTTTCTGGTTCTTACCATGGTGTCGATCCGACCAATGACTTCAAAGGAAAAGTCTACACCTCCTCCACTCATCTCCTTCAGCACCTCCTCGATGGGTTTCTGGAAGTCCATTGGGCTGATGCACTCGGTGGCACCCACCTCTTGGGCCTTTGCAAATTTGTCTTTGTTGATATCTATTCCAATGATCCTGGCTGCCCCCGCTGCTTTACAGCCCATCACAACGGACAGGCCGACTCCTCCAAGACCAAACACGGCGCAGGTAGAGCCTGGAGTGACCTGTTTTACAGGAAACAAAGATGAGCTAAGAAATGATTGATGGAAGTTCCTAAGTTGAATTAAATGCCAATACCTCTCCTGCCATCAGTGTTGGGGTCTCACCAGCCAGCCTGAGACTTTGACTGAATCCCCTTCCCCTGGAAGCAAGAGGCGGCCCTGTTAACAAAGGCCCACTCCAGTACTTCTCACACGCAGGCACTCTTGTTGAGGATGAGGGACATGACTGTGCTCACCTACCCAGCCCGGCCCTAAGAGCAGGATATGTAAATCATTAACTGAGGTCTATAGGAGCCCAGGGAGAGAAGCGTTCTATATGAGAGAAGTGAGAGAAGTGTGCCGTATATGGGATTTCTCTCCTACCCCTGCCCCAGTGTACTAGTGCATGTATAAGAACCCCTGGTAGTGGCCAATAAATGAAGAACTGCTTGACCACCAGCAGAGGACCAGGGCAGAGGCTTCTCTTCTACCCACTCCCTTCCCTTTAGGGAGTAAGTACAGCGACTTCGGGGGATTGTACTTCAGTTTGCCCGGAGTCCACTGGCCAGGGCCCCGACACTCAGGAGCACCTAAGACTTAGGTTCTGCAGCCTGCTGTCAAAACCTCCGTAGAGTTCTGATCCTTTGTTTAAGTTTCTTGAAACATATGGTTGGTTCTAGAGCTTTGTTGGACATTGGACTCCTCTATGGAGCTTTAAAACATCAATGTTCAGGTCTAATCCATCAGCAATTCAACTAGAACCTCTACAGGTGAGGCCCTACAGAACTCTTATGGACACCCAAACTGAATGGTATTTGAGCTCTAAATGTGAGGGATTCCCAACTCCCCCCACCCAGGAAAATTCAGTGATGTTAGCAGCTAGCTTTCATGGCACACACACCAACACCATTTGGGATGTGTAGGGACATTTGTGCTGGGAGATAGATTCGCCTCGGTCTTCCCTGTGAGCTTTGGAAAGTCCAGTATCTGTGGCCACACACAGAGCAGAAGTTAGGGGAGGCAGAGTTACTCTCTTCCTGGAGCAAGCCTGCCATGTCACTGGAAGAGAGGAGGACTCTGTAACGATCTAACAGACAGCCTGAGAGCCATACAACCTGAGTGGTCTTCATCCCTCCTTTCCAAAGTGCATGTTGAAGAGGAATGTAGTGGGGAGTGGTCCTGATTTTAATTACGAGTACCCTTGGCTTTGGGTCTGTGTGAGGCTGTCCTTTCACCTGTTGAAACAAATGTGGCAGCCACATAGGGACTTTTTCCTATCCACAAACATTTGGGGATTCCAGTGCTTAAGTTTAATTCCATTAAACTGGCAAGGAATGAGGGATGGTTTTAGTAAACTGTGTCATTAATTTGTTAGTCATCGGTGTGGATAAATATTCTTTTCATCTCACGTCATCATTCTCTAGAGCTCTACTTACTGTTAATATCTTGGAAAAAGCTTGTGAGTGTGGTGTAAAGATGCAGGTAAAGAGGGATTAGGGTTAAGGTGCACAAGAGCTTTGACAGATGGGTTCCCATGCTAACCAACTGGGAGCTTTGGGGCAAATGACTGTCCATGTCTCAGTTCCACAAAGTGAGAAAATACGACTGGATTCCCAACCTTTCAGAAAGAGAAGACTTTAAGGTTTGTCCTTATAATATACTGCTTCTGGACTGTGTATTTTTGAGAGTGACTGTATACGTGTGTGTGTGTGTGTGTGTGTGTGTGTGTGTGTGTGTGTGTGTGTGTGTGTCAGGGAGAAAAGGGAAGGGTGAACTTCCCTAATTAATGAAATAAACGCGAGCTGGGTTACTGATCTGACCTTCCACATAGGGCCCAGCAGGGAAAGGGGTATTGGTGCTGTTTGACCTGGAAGTGTTTGGGGAGGCTTTGTATGCTACTACTGATTTTAATTCTGCCGGCACTGTGAAATAGAAACTCCTCTGAGTTGGCGCCTTCTATTCCTGTAGTTTTGCTGCCTCAGAGACCAGCAGCCCCTCCCAGGCATGAGGTGACGTTAATGCTTAGTGATCCCATAGAGAGCAAGTTTAGAATAATAACGAAGGGCATCGCCTCTTGACTCTTTCTTAATGCCAATCTGCCACCAACTTCAATCTCCCAGGATATACCTTCCATTCTCCAAGAGATCACTTGTTTCCAGTCATGATCAGTACCCTGAATTTGTGAGTATACCCGTGCTGTTACGTGGGCCAGGGAGAGCCCCTGAAAATCGAGGCGGCTGTGCTCTGATGATCATGTGATTAATTGCTACCCTTCTGTTTCCTGATAATCCAAATAAAAGTAAAGTAAAAGTAAAGGCCCTCCCGTTGATCATCAATTTGCTCGAGCGGGCCCAGTAATGTCTCCATTGGAGACTTTGTTGTTACTGTGTCTGGCATATCGAATACTCTCGGTAGCTTGCCGGGCTCTCCGAGAGGGGCGGAGGAATCGAACTCGGGTGGGCCATGTTGGCTGCATGCAAGGCAGATGCCCTACCCGCTGTGCTATCGCTCCAGCCCCAAATATAACCAAATATAACTGCATTATTACCCATGTCATTCCTACCTTGGCAACTTTGGTGGCAGACCCGTACCCGGTAGAAAACGCACAGCCAATGGGACAGACTTTGTCCAGCGGGGAGGCAGCATTGATTTTGGCCACTGCGCATTCTTGCACCACCGTGTACTGGGAGTAGGTACTGGTGCCTAAGAAGTGGTAGATGGCTTTCCCTCTGCAGGTGAACCTGGTGATCCCGTCCTGCATGGTCCCAGTCGGCTTGGAAATGCTAGGAATACACACAGGCTATGAGACAGGAGCATTCTCCACAAGCAAACTCACTTTCTCTAGGCGCATGAATATTGGAAACCTACTTATTTTTCAAGCAGAAGTTGCCTTCTGGGTGCTTGCAGACCTTGCACGTTCCACACTGGGGAAGAAACACTGGAATGACTTTATCACCTGGAGAGGTAGAAATGAAACCTTTGTTAGTGCTTAACCAGAAAGGGACTAAGGGTGTGCTCAGAGCTTCTCGGGGACTGTCATGCAAAGTCTCTAGAGATAGGATTTGGCCACATGTGACTGGTCCTTGTTCTGCCACTGTTCTCTGGAGGACTTGCCATGCCCTTGAAAACTCCCAAACTCCCAAAAAAACTCCCAAAGATTGGGGGAATTTCATGAATTTATTGTTTTTTTTTTTCTTTGGTCACATAGAGCGATGCTCAGGGTGTGCATTCCTGGTTCTGTGCTCAGAAATTACTCCTGGCGGCACTTGGGGGACTATATGGGATGCCAGAGATTGAACCCCTGTCACAGTATGCAAGGCAATGCTGTGTCTACTGTGCCCCTGCTCAGGCAACAGCTGTGAATTTTAAGAGCTCCACTGAGTAATCTCCTTTTTTGTGTGCTTGTTCCCATGGTGTTATACAAAGCTTCCCATTTAACACAGCAATAGCGAGGACTATTCTCAGTTGATGCTGGCATGAATCTGGGTTGTAAATACTCACCTTCATTCCATCAGGTATTGCATTTTGTAACAGTTTGGAATGTAGAGGAAAGGGGAAGTTGACATCCATTTCTTAGCTTAGCATATTAACTATACTTGTTTCATTGAAAAATAATCACTTAAGAGTTGTTTAAAGGAAAACTCCCAAAAAAGAATTCATAGAAATTCCTTTGAAAACTCCAAGTCTTCGGTTACATGCAAAAAAATAGGCTCAGAACTCTGCCTAACACCATGTACAAAAGTAAGATCAAAATGGATTAAAGACCTCAACATCAGACCAGAAACCATAAGGTACATTGAAGATAAAGTTGGCAAAACCCTCCATGACATTGAAGCTAATGGTATCTTCAAAGATGCCACGCCACTGGCCGAGCAAGTGAAAACAGAGATAGATAAATGGGACTATCTTAAACTAAGAAGCTTCTGCACCTCCAAAGAAACAGTGACCAAAATACAAAGACAGTTTACAGAATGGGAAAGGATATTCACCGAATACACATCTGACAAGGGGTTGATATCCAGGATATACAAAATACTGGTTAAACTCCACAAGAAGAAAACATCCAACCCCATCCAAAAATGGGGCAATGAAATGAACAGAAACTTTCTCAAAGAAGAAATCCGAATGGCAAAAAAGCACATGAGAAAATGCTCTACATCATTAATCATCAGGGAGATGCAGATCAAAACCACAATGAGATACCATCTCACACCTCAGAGACTGGTCCACATTCAAAAGAACAAAAGCAACCGATGCTGGCGTGGATGTGGCGAGAAAGGGACACTCCTTCACTGTTGGTGGGAATGTCCACTGGTTCAGCCCTTCTGGAAAACAGTATGGACGATTCTCAAAAAATTAGAAATTGAGCTCCCATTTGACCCAGCAATACCACTCCTGGGAATATATCCCAGAGTAGCAAAAATGTATAGTCGAAGTGACATCTGCACTTGTTTGTTCATTGCAGCACTCTTTACAATAGCTAGAAACTGGAAGAAACCTGAATGCCCAAGAACAGATGACTGGTTAAAGAAACTTTGGTACATCTACACAATGGAGTACTATGTAGCTCTTAGAAAAGATGAAGTCATGAAATTTACATACAAGTGGTACAATATGGAAAGTATCATGCTAAGCGAAATGAGTCAGAAAGAGAGGGATAGACATAGAAAGATTGCATTCATCTGGGGGATATAAAGTAACAAAATATGAGATTAATACCCAAGAATAGCTGAGATCAGCACCAGGAGGATTACTCCATAACTTAGAGGCCAGCCGGGTATCCTAGAGGAAAGGGCAGTTCAGATAGAGAAGGGAGCACCAAATAAAGGATGTTTGGAGGATCCTCCCAGGAGGGGAGATGCATGTCGAAAGTAGACTATGGACTGAACATGTTTGCCACTCAATGCCTCTTTTGCAGACCACAACACCCAAAAGGAGAGAGAGAACACAGGGGATTGCCCTGCCACAGAGACAGGGGGGATGGGGGGATGGGGGTGGGAGGGATATTATCCATGGTGGTGGAAAATGGGCACTGGTGGAGGGATGGGTATCTGATCATTGTATAATTGAAACCAAAGCACAAAAAATTGTAAATCTACAACTTAAAAAAAAATAAAATAAAATAAAGGGGAAAAAAAAACCTCCAAGTCTTAATAATGAGCTTCTCACTTTTATTTTAGGGTATAATTGATTTTCAAATATAGTTGATAATTTGTGAGTAATCTGTTTTTCTTGCTATGATAGAAAGTAAGGGTGGCATTGATAGTTTATTGCAAACTAAGGCAATACTAAGGAACTCAACCCATATCATTAATTTTGTTATGCCTGTACACAAAATATGAATAAGAAGTAGTTCAGACTCACTAAATTAATTCTTATTTTTAGAATTAAACATAATCTCTTCTTTTTTATGTAGGAGTACTGCTATTTATTCAGCCACTGATTAGCTGATTGAATTGGGCATGAACTCCACCTTACTTTTTTTTTCATAATTTTATTTATTTTTTCTTCTTATATTTATTTATTGAATCACTGTGGGAAAAGTTAAAAGCTTTCAGGTTTAAGTCTTGGTCATACAATGATCAAACACCTTTCCCTTCACCAGTACTCGTTTTTCACCACCAAGAGCCCCAATATACACCCCTTCCAACCCTCCCAATGCCTGTAAGGCAGATGATTTCTACTTAACTCTTCTCTACATTGATTACATTTATTGTTTCTACAAAAGATGCAACATTATTGTTTAGAATTCCCCCCCAACAATCAGAATTGCTGAAAAGGCATTGTGAAATACTTTGTTTTCTATAGCTGGTATGAGAATCATATAATGTGGCGCGGCCGCAACAGTGGCCACACAATTTTGGATTTCTGCAAAGAGCCAGATAATTATGAGATTGGTTTCTGTGATCTGGTGTTATGGCTGTGCCAGATAGCCACTTGTGGGGGGCAACTCGTGACCTTGGTAGGGCGTGAAGGACGAGCCAGTACTGCCCCCCTTCCCATAAGACTGCAGTTTCCCCATCACTGCTGGCTCATACCTGGCTTTCCTATAAGTTCTGAGGCAGCGGCTACCTTGCTGCTGGAGGGGAAAAAGGCGGAAGGGTGCAACACCTTTTCCCTCCTGGGGAGGCATGGCGCCATAGTTTAATGCATGGGCCATTCACTTTTCTGCTGCAAGCTGCCAGGTTCTGAACTAAGTCCTTTTGCCTCTGGATCCATGGCCATGCCGGAGAGTTGCTCGTGGAGGGCAACTCGTGACCTCAGTAGGGCATGAAGGATGAGCCGGCAGCACCCCCCTTCCCATGAGACTGCAGTTGCCCCATCACCACAGGCTCATACCTGGCTTTCCAATAAGCTCTGAGGTGGTGGCCACCTTGTATGAGGTCCAGATTCATTTCTGCCAAAAGCCGCTGGGTTTTGAGATTTGTTTCTGAATCTCTGGGATCATGGCCAGTAATCAGCTTGATCAGGAGCCAGAGAGGCCATTTGTAGGCAGCGACTTGGGGACTCGTTGGGATGGGGAGGAAAGGGCCGGTTCCACCCCCATCTGGTGAGGCCCACGTGTCTCATCACTGTGGGCCCAAACCTGACCATCTCCTCTGGAGGATGGCAGTCACTGGGCCACCCGGGGGACAGGCCAAGGCACGAAACCTATTCCCACCTGGAGTGGCCCAGTGCCAGTAACCCACTGCAGGAACAGAATGCATTTCTGCCAAAAGCCTTTAGGTTATGAGATTCGATTCTGAGTCTCTGGGATCATGGCCGTTAAGCAGATTGATCAGGAACCAGAGAGGCCATGCCTCCAATTATATAGCTGAGCCAAAGGTGGTTATTGGGAGTGTCTCCCACATACCTAACTTTTGGCTGTTTACTTTCTTGGTAACCTTTGCCCCAAGTCTTTGGGGTCTGGCCAAAGGAAAAGCAGCAATTTTGGGGTATCTGGAAGTCTGACAGTGCCATCAGGCTGCTGATGCACTCGCCTCACAGGTACAGATTGACAAGCTGGCAGCACCATACCCCCTAAACATAATCTTTTCTATATCCACAACTCAGAGGAAGGATTGGGCATAGCATATAATACACAAACTTCCTATGGAGATGATAATGGTACAGGCTGTACAGGGAGTGACTAGTGCCCCAAGAAACAGAACCTGAGAACTGGTCAAGAGAAATGAGTTTCCTGTGGCCGAGGGTGATGGGTTTAGGGGATAGGATGCGGGGAGTGACCTTGGGGAGGGGCTGGAGAGGGGTTGGGGACAGGACAGGGCGGGGTGGAGCAGGTGCTGGACTTTGTTCCACAGTATCCTCAACCACGGTGCTGAAAGGGAAAGAGCAGTCATATCTGTATCTGTGTCTGTATAAAGCAACCGAGAGTAACACACAATCAGAGATAGACACACAATCAGAGATAGTCTTTGTCCCCAACCCTCTAGCCCTGGCTGGGGCAGTCACATTGGCCTTGCTGCAGCCCTCCTGCGTGGCAGGGTGCCCTGGGGCATGACTCAGCAGTGAGGCCTTTGTGTCCACCCCTCTCGTGTGGACTGGTGGGCACTGGAGGACTGGGGGACAGTGGAGTTTCTGTACCTGGTTTGACACTCGTCACACCTTCTCCGACGCTCTCCACAATGCCGGCCCCCTCGTGGCCCAGGACCGCGGGAAGTGGTGTGAAAAGGGAGCCATCGATGGCATGGTCATCTGAGCGACAGATCCCCGTGGCCACCATCTGCAGGGGAGGAGAGGGACTGAACTTGCAGCGAGGGCAGGCGACTGCCCTTGGGCGGGTGAAACAAACCCAGTTTCCTAATATCGGGTGCCTTAAGAGGCTTTTTCTTTTTTTTTGACGGGAGTGGTTGATTATTATTACCTTAACCACCTCTCCTCCCAAAGACAAAAAGGTCCATGTTGTCCCAAGATTATTTAACCTAAAACTGTCCTTTCTGGAATTAAATATTTTGAAGTAAATTGTGAAATGATCACTTCAGAATTAAGTCACACAACATACAAGAATACACCCTTCTAATGAAAGTAGAAAATGCAGATTAGCACTAAGAAAACAAGGCAGATCCTACCCCCTAATGTACCTCATTTGGAAATCTTAACACACGTCCCTTTGCACTTTGTTTTCTCCTGCCCAAACATGCAAAATAATGTGGGATTGTGCTATATATGGTCTTTTGTTTATTTTTAATAAAAATTAAATCATTTATATGTTTCCTTAATAATGGTTTCTATGTTTCCTTAATTCATACCAGGATGTCCATTTAAATTAAAAGTGTCTCTTAATGGATCTAGTACTAGGAGCTACTCCAGTGGTCAGGCTGCAGGCTTGGCAGGGACCTGGCTGGTGCTCCATCCCCAGGTCCCTGGGTCCCTGACATCAAGGCAATCAGCATGGCATGGCTCTGATAATCCCCGGCACTGCTGGGTCCCAGCCCCACTGTGTTTCGGGCCTTGCTGAAACTCGGTTGCTGAGACTCACTGTGGCACCTCCAGCCTCCTGAGCACGGCTTGGAAGGCCCCGCCACAAAAGCATCTCTTAATGGAATTTTGGTTATTTCCAGTTTTATTATTTTATAAAAATTGTTTCTGTTGTAGTGCTTGAGGTTGATGCTCAGGGGTTACATGGATCTAGGGGTCAAATCCAGGCCCGCACAGGGTCAGGGCACATCACCACAGAGTCTCATTTCTCGTCCTGGGAAATGCTTTTTTAAACTAAAATTAATCAGAAACGGTGAAACGTTTTACCTTAATACGAACTTCATGAGCCTTAGGGGGTGCGACTTCCACCTCCTCTATGGCAAACGGCTTCTTCAGCTCCCAGAGCACAGCGGCCTTGCACTTGATGACCTGCAATTAAACAGTGGACGATCCCAGTCCTTCCCCACTTCTAATCTAGGGACTGTGTTTTTAGTGATCATCTTATGTGGAATATTTATTACATGCCAGGTGCTTAGTAAGTCCATAGACACAAACCACTTTGAAAGAAAAACATGGAAAGCAGTAGGATATGTCATTTATCCACAGCTATAGACTTGCATACGAAGCTCCAGATCACCATTATTTCCCTTAGATTCAGTGACTGTTCACTGTTTTGCTTCATTCTGTGCTTCTGCCAAGCAATATTTTTGTTTTATTTTGGTTTTTTATTTATTTTGGGGTTACATCCAACAGAGCTCAGAGTTTATTTATGGCTCTAAGTTCCAGAATCAACTCCTGGCTGGTTCTGGAGACCATGTCGGGTACCAGGGATCAAACCTGGGTCAGCTCTATGAAAGGTAGCACCCTACTCTCTCTGATGTGACTCCAGTCCGTCTGCCCGAATCTGATCGGGCGGTCCGTCCACAGAGCCTGCCTTTCACTGTAGTGAGAGACGAACCAAAAAAAAGTGAATAATAATAGAATTGATGACAGCACTGAGTAACATTTATTAGTTTCCATGCACCAAGCTCTTTCCTAAGTGCTTTCATTAGTTTACCAAATCCTGAAATATGTTCTAGTAGTATTACGACTTCTAGCATTTACAGAAAATAGAATGTAGGAAGCTGAATGTAAATGGTGTGTTTCATTATTGATGTTTACCTGAGGTGTGAGAATTAGTTGCCAGTGATTTATTATTTATTTTTTTCTTCATTATTCTCACCAAGACTTTTTTAAAAATTAATTAATTTATTTTTTATTAGTGAAACATCATGAGGTACAGTTGTAGACTTACAAGTTGTTGTGCTTGGGTTTCAGTTACACAATGATCGAGTACCCATCCCACCACCAGTGCCCATTCTCCACCCCCACCCATCCCCGTATCCCTCCCACCCCTCCCATCCCCCATCCCACCCTGCCTCTGTGGCAGGGCACTCCCTTTTGTTCTATCTCTCTTTTTGGGTGCTGTGGTCTGCAGAAGAGACATTGGGTGGCAATCATGTTCTGTCTATAGACTACTTTCAGCATGCATCTCCCATCCTGGGCAGATCTTCCCATTACCCTTTATTTGGTCTCACCAAGACTTTTGATGTACACTTTGAAAGAAAGAATTTTGGAGACCAAACGGAGTTTTAGTGGATTTATCTCTTTCCTAACTTTCCTAACTTTGATGTTTATCTTTGCTATCAATTCAATTAAAATGTAATATGCCATTGTAATGTCAACCTGTAATGAATGAAAAAAATTGGAAAATGAAATTCATAATTGACTAACCACATGATTTCCAAGAATCTTATTGCTAAAACTCCTATAAGGTCTGCTGTACTACAGAGTGTACGGAAATGTCAGATTCTTGAAATTGAGTTATGGAAGGTATTGCATTGTGTGACAACACAATAAAACCACTGGAAACAATTCTAGTAACTTTCGTGACCATATATACCAGTTTGTACACATAGTGTATATGTGTATTTGTTGCCACACAACCTCTTATTGTCTAGTTCTCTCTCTCAGAAAACCTGGCAGGCTACCAAGAGTATCCTGCCCTCACGGCAAAGTCTGGCAAGCTCCCCGTGGCGTATTCGATATGCCAAAAACCCAGTAACAATGATGGGTCTCATTGCCCTGATCCTGAAAGAGCCTCCAATGTGGCACTTGCTAAAATCTCAGGGCTAGGATGAATGGAGACGTTACTGGTGCTTGCACGATGAAATCGATAAACAATGGGATGACAGTATACACATCATACAAATAAATGTCAATCCACAGAGTACTTTGAAGCAAGTAACTCTGTCCTTAGCTAATAATTCATTTAAAGCTAGTCATTATCAATCTTTTAAAATATTTGCTTTTGTATGGAGAAGAAATTATTTTAGAGGGTTTCTACTGAAATTTTCTGGATTGTGTCATAATCACATATTGACCTTGGTTTGCTTAACTTGGATTCCAGTGATTTCAGATAAGTTTGCGCTTTGTAAGACATTTCACATTCAAGTTCAAAAGGCATTTCAAGGTCCACTGAATCAAATTCTTCTCATGGAGTTTTCATCAGACTTAAATTTTTGGTGCTAATAAAAATAATGATTGCAATGAGTAACACATTTAAATTATAATTCTCAACTTTATTAGAAACGTTTGTAACTTTATATTTACAAGTTACTCATGAAAGACTTAAGCATCACAATGCATTTAATATGAGAAATTAAGACTTCATAGTATAGATAGCACCATAGCACTGTTCTCCCATTGTTTCATCAATTTGGTCGGACAAGCACCAGTAATATCTCCATTGTGAGACTTGTTGTTACTTTTTTTGGCATATCCAATACAACACAGGGAGCTTGCCAGGCTTTGCCCTGCAGGAGCGGGGGATGCTCTCCTGTAACTTGCCAGGCTCTCTGAGAGGGACAGAGGAATCAAACCTGGGTCGGCCCGTGCAAGGCAGACACCCTACCCGCTGTGCTATCTTCCCAGCCCAACCATCTCGGTGGAACCCAAAAATTAAAAAAATAAAATTTTAATTAAAAATTTTTTTCCTCATGGCTTTCGATGTCCAAAGGATAAAATAAACGGCACCTCCTCAAGTTTCTTAATGTCACATCCTATAACGCATGCCCAACACCCTCAGAGACTATGGTTCAGCCTCAGGGACCTTCTCCCCAGTCTCTAGATGCAGATTGGCTGGAGGAATAGCACTGCAGGGAAGGCACTTGCCTTACACGTGCCCGGCACGGGTGCCCCGTTGGACGCCAGCGCTCCGTCAGTTGTGATCCCTGAGAACAGAGCCTGAAGCAAGCCCTGATCGCAGCCGGGTGTGGCCTCCAAACCAAACCGTTAATAAAGCAAAACCAGATCCCCGTTTTCTTTGCCTTCTCCCCTGGCACTGCACAAGTTTCGCGGTCCATCTCCTACCTTCCCTTTACAAGGCAGTTCAAATGTCGCTTCTTGCCCACTCTCTGACAGCAGGCAGTGAACTTGTCCCTAGCCATACACGTTTCATCCCTTAGTGCCCCTTTTCGGGGCTGCCTTCACACACCACTGGACTCACAGGCCCATAGAACTCCGTCTCTCCCCCTACGCTCCATCAGGCCCATTCAACAGTGGTTAGGACACACCTGGGACCATTCGAAATATCTGAGGGACACTTCAGAATCAAACATAAAATTAAACCTGCCCTCCATTAAAGTTGCCTCTGAGTCTACTGAAGGAAAACAAAATGGAAGGGTTCAAACTCAAGTGACATTGGTGGAATTTACCTGAAAATGTCCTTCCCCATGGGTGAAATGAGGGAAGGGGGCAGACAGAGAAAGACGCATGCCTCTCAGGAGATAGAACTAACACCATCCTTCTGATCAGAAAACTGAGGAAGTGCCTACGACCCTTGGTTCCACCCCGGTGCAGCCCCTCCGAGGCCCAATGTTTCCTGGTGTATTCATACACCAGTATAGATATATATTTTTTGTTAATGCTATTTCAGTTGCAATTAAATATATACTTTCTGTCAAAGCATATGTTTTATGTTATAGTTCCATTATTATTGTTTCTATGTTAGACATGAGATTTAAATGAGACATTAAAATGATATCTTCTTGTATATTATACTAATAAAAATATATTTCCCCAAATAAAGATTTGTGCTTACCTTTCCTGCTGTGCTCATGGTTTTGTTTCTTTTCTGGTGAATTCTTGCCACGTCTTGCCAAGTTTCTGTTAGAGTCTATAGAGTAGATTTATTGCACAGGGACTTTATATGCTTGAGTAACACCCACTCCACACACGTGATCTGGGATCTTAAAGCAACACTCATCAGCTTATTCATACACCACAAACAAACAAACAAACACTGTCATCCTGTTGTTCATCGATTTGCTCGAGCGGGCCCAGTAACATCTCCATCATGAGACTTGTTGTTACTGTGTTTGGCATATTGAATACGTCACAGGGAGCTTGCCAGGCTTTGCTGTGCGGGCGAGATACTCTTGGTAGCTAGCTGGGCTCTCGGAGAGGGGCTGAGGAATCGAACCCGGCTCAGCCGGGCTGGCTGCATGCAAGGCAAACGCCCTGCCACTGTGCTATCGCTTCAGCCCAACTAAAAAGAAAATGGCTTTGAATATGTTTTCAAACTTTGACTTCTTTTGAAATATGCCAGTTTCAAATAACATTTCAATTTCATTAGGTTGGAAATGTACATATTCCTGGGTGCTGTGTTTCCTCCTCAGCCCCCCACAGTATGTTCAGAGTTGTCTGCCTCTGTGAATGAAGTCACAACTGCAGGTTCACATCTGGAACTCGAGAAGCAGGAGCAGCGTGAGCAGCTCCCTGTGCCGCTCATCTCCACAGGGGCCAGACAGCTGCACCACAAGCACCCCGAGGGCACTCAGGAAATTTGTGCCTAATACAAAAGACACTAATTTCTTTAAATAATTCAATTTAGTAGTCATGATTTCTTACTTTTCCAGTAAACTTTTCTTTAGCTACTTCTCCTGAAGACTATAAAGGTATCACTTCCCAGATAGATATTTTTTCTTGCTTAGAATATTCTCACAGCCTTTTCTAATCAGATCTCTTCTAACCATGGAGGTTTCTTGTCATATTTTTCTCCCTCACAATTTTTTTTTACCTCAGAATTTGCATTGCTCAAGTCCTCAGATCACCACCCTCAATAAATTTTCCAACTCAAATGTCAGGGACTTTGTCAGGGGCTCCGTTCCAAATAGAATTTGTCCTGTCAGACTTTTCGCGTGTGTAATTTTTTTCTCCCCCGATCTTCTCTCACAATGGACATTTCTGTTTTTATACTTTTACCTCATGAACCCCTTTCTCAATTAATTCATGCCTCAACTTTTCTGCTTTAAAACTTTTCATAGATTTTATACCCATCAGACTTTTCACTAAGACATTTCTCCTAAAATAATCATTCTCAGACAATTTTTCCTCACCAGACTCCTTACTGAACAGGTTTCTTTCCTTAGAAAGTTTTAATTTTGGAGAGTGAGGGGTGGGGGCCACACCCAGTGATTCTCAGGGGTTACTCTTGGCTCTGCACTCAGGAATTCCTCCTGGTGGTGCTTGGGGGACCAAATTGGTTGCCGGAGGTTGATCTGGGTTGGATGCATACAAGGCAAGCGCCCTCCCCGCTGTGCTGTTTTGCCCCCAAGAGTTTTCGTTTCTTCCTTTTGATTGGGGTGCACTCTCAGGCAGGAATTGGACCCGAAGCTCTGCACAGGCCAGGAATGAGTTCCAGCTCTTAAAGTACTCTCTCTGACCTTTGGGATATTTTCTTCGCAGTGGATTTTTTCTTCTTATTCTTTCCATACACTTTCCTACTCAAACACTCCTTTCAAAATACTTTTTCACTTCACATGTTACTTTAGAGAATTTCTCCTCAGGATCTTTATTCCACTGTCATTGTCACTGTTGTCCCATTGTTCATCTATTTGCTTGAGCCGGCCCAGTAACATCTCCATCGTGAGACTTGTTGTTACTGTGTTTGGCATATTGAATACATCATGGGTAGCTTGCCAGGCTTTGCCGTGTGGGTGAGATACTCTCAGTAGCTTGCCGGGCTCTTCGAAGGGATGGAGGAATTGAACCCGGCTCGGCCGGGCTGGCTGCACCCAAGGGAAATGCCCTACTGCTGTGCTATTCCTCCAGCCCACATAGTTAATAATTTTTTAATCTCAGAATTAAAACTGTGTTGTCCTGTGTGCACACAGATAACAGGAGCATATGATTCAACACAGTGCACAAGGGTAACCTGGTGCACATAGGACAACATGCTATACACAGGAGAACATGTGAACATAGGACATCGTGTTGCACACAGGACAACTTGTGCACACATGACAACATGCTGCACACAGGACAACATGCTACACACAGGATAATATGATACACATATGACAACATGGTGCACACAGGATAACATGGTAAAACGGGATAATATGGTGCACACAAGCTAACACAGCGCTCACAGGATGACACAGTACATGCAGGATAGTATGGTGCATGCAGAATACCCAGCGTGTGCAAGATGCCAGGGTCCACACCGAACCGCAGGAACAGGAAGACAGGTATGTCCACTGTTGTACCATGGAGTTCAGTACCCCAAAGTTCACTGAGGGTAGAGACCTACAGACCAGCAGAGAGGAGGAGATTGTCTCCCCAGGACAAGCTTGGGAAGAGGAGGGGGCCGAAGAACAAACATTCTAGGAAGAAAGAGCAGAGCTGGCACAAAGGATCAGGGTTCCCATGGGGGCTCACTGTTGGAGCCTGCGGGGGTGGGGAATCAGCCAGCCCATCCCAAGGGCCTTGCTGACCTTCCAAAGGGACTGAGATGATTCTCAGCAAATGAGTGACTGTCAGCTTTGCTTCTGATGCCTCCCTGCATCAGAGGGTAATAGACTGCGATGACTTTTAAGTGCTTTGAGATTGCCACAGATAAAGGGCAGATACTGAATTTGATTCACAAAGGAGTGCCCTCTTCAGGAACCTCAGTTCTTTTGTTTTAAATCTAGATCAACAAACTGGATAAAGGAAAGTGAACTTCTACCTTTAAATGTTTTGTTTTTATCAAAAAGTCTCGTAGAGACACGGACGTAGATACGACAGTGCAGTTGTACCAAGTTAGAAACTTTTATTCTTGGGGGAGTCATACTTTACTGAGCAGAGTGTTAAGAAATATACCACGGGTCATTCTATTGGTCCTTTTGTACTTATATAGTAATACCCGGGCTGGAGGGATAGCACAGCGGGTAGGGTATTTGCCTTGCATGCAGCCAACCCTACCTTCCCGGATTCAATTCTTCTGCCCCTCTTGAAGAGCTGGCAAGCTACTGAGAGTATCCTGCCCGCAGGGCAGAGCCTGGCAAGCTACCCGTGACATATTCGATATGACAAACACAGTAACAACAAGTTGCACTATGGAGATGTTACTGAGGCCGCTAGAGAAAAATCAAGGAACAACGGGAGGACAGTGCTACAGTGCTACAGTAGTAGTACCCGAGATTTTTTTTTTTTATGAACTGGTAATGTATTGAGATATAACCTCACGGAGCCTTCTAATAGGTTTTCCCAGCTTCATCTAGTTATGTACGAAGGATTCTAAGAAATGATTAACTGTTCTCTTGCTCAGATCCCCGACTTTTCCCTCAAATCAACACTTGCACCATGCAGAGCTGATCCCAACTTAATCCCAGCTAATTTATAACAAGTGTTTTTAAAGAAAATGTTTGCATTGGGAGCCAGGGAGAGAGCTCCAAGGGTCATGCATGGGGGTCAGCTCTGGACTGTAGCACATTCCCCCAAGGGTCTCCAGGGGGAGTGCAGGCAAAGGCCAGGGGTAGGTCTGAGCCACACTATGCATGACCACAAATATTTACAATTGAATCAAGAGAGGAATAGTTACAGTGTGCTAAAGACCAGACATACAGGGGCTGGAGCGATAGCACAGAGGGTAGGGCGTTTGCCTTGCACGCGGCCAACCCGGGTTTGGGTTCAATTCCCAGAAGCCCATATGGTCCCCTGAGCACTGCCAGGAGTAATTCCTGAGTGCAGAGTCAGGAGTAACCCCTGTGCATTGCCAGGTGTGACCCAAAAAGAAAAAAAAGTCCAAACATACAATGATAATTACTTTAGGAAGTAAATTTATTTCCAGCAGATACCACACAGGAAGGAATGGAGTCTCTGTGTATGCTCTATCTGCTCTTATGTCACACTCATTGGTTAAGACTCTTCCCCAAATATTCCCCAAACAGGAAAATATAAACATGCCCCCAGATATACGATTACAGCCTTAGAATGTGCAAATTACATTTAAAAATTCTCCTCCCGCCGCCCCCGCCCCATTTATTCCTGTGTGTACTCATAAGGTTCTCCAGATCAGTTCCACGGAGGCTGTTTCTCTTCACCAAGTCTCCTTCTGTGAGTGCCTCTGGGCTCAAGGAGGGCCATGGGAGAGGAGGCCCCCGCTCCCTCTGGGCAGTGTTGACTCTGGCCACGGGAATCTACAATGTCAGGACGGTTCGAATGCTGGAAGGGAATGCGACAGTTTCCAGTGAGTGACTTGTCCCCACCAGGAACAGCCTGAGCAGTCTCCTTCCTATCTATTCCGGAAAGTCCTGGTATTTTCAGCCCCTGCACATCCCTTGTGGTGATGCCCGGTTCCTATTCTCCAAGTGTGTGTCTCTAGCCAGTGTCTGGCTCTGCTGGACTGTCAGCCAGGTCCTGAGGGCTGCCCAGAGGAGAGGGCCTTCCTGATGAGAAAGGCAATAGACCAGGAGAGTGAAGGGCCGGGTGCCCAGCCTGCCATGCTCAAGCATCCAGGACTGGAGAGGTGAAAGAAGAGACCTGCTCCCCAGATGAGACACATGGAGGCTTCAGTGTGCCGCCATCCACTCGTGGTCCCTGCAGGAAGGATGTACTTGGGAGCAGACCAGATGCTACTTTGGACACCCAGTGACTGTTTCTGCAAGTTAACAATAAGTTACTAGTTCTGGGAATGGAGGGAAAGTTTATGAGTGGTCATGACAGTTAATTTTATTCTTTTCTGGCTTAAAAGCCGTGAAAGGTGTTCCTAGGACAGGGCCACGTGGCTGGCCCCAAGGTTGACCCGAGACGTGCTCCAGGGCCATCCAGAAGAGGAAGGAGAGGGAATCTCAGAGGAGGGTGCAAGAGCCCTGTTGCCTTATTTATTTTTTTTTATGTAGGAGTACTGCTATTTATTCAGCCACTGATTAAGCTGATTGGATTGGGCATGAACGCCACTTTTTTTTTCATTTTTTATAATTTTATTTATTGAATAACCGTGAGAGCAGTTACAAAGATTTCAGGTTTAAGTCTTGAAAGACTTCTACATTGCACATTTCATTCTACAATGAAACACTCGTACCTTCACCAGTGGCCAGTCTCCACCACCAAAACTCCCAGTATACCCCAATCCCAAGCCCTCCCCCTACCTGTGGGGCAGATGACATCCACCTTACTCTCTCTCTACCTTGATTACATTCAATTTTGATACCTGACCCACCATTATTATTTGGGATTTTAGCCCAACACTCGGATCTGCCAAAAAGGCAACAGTAGACAATTTGCTTTCTATTTATTTTATGAATAACAAATGATATCAATTTTGAAATTCTGAAATTTTAACAATTAAATATGGAGGGATTTCTGCCAAGACCTGCTGGGTTCTGAGATTTGTTCCTGACTCTCTGGGATCCTGGCTGTTTAGCAGCTTGATCAGGAGACAGAGAGGCCATTCGTGGGCAGTGACTTGGGGTCTCGTTGGAATGGGGAGGAAAGGGCCGACTCCACCATATCCTGTTAGCCCCTGCGTGTCTTGTCACTGAGGGCCCAAACCTGACTGTCCAATGGCCTCTGGAGGATGGCAGCCACCAAGCTGCCAAAGGGGAGTAGGCGGAGGGACAGCACCCTTTCCCCCCTGGGGTGGCCTGGCAACAGTAACCTACTGTGTGGTCTGGATGCATTTCTGCCAAAAGCCACTGGATTTTGAGATTTGTTTCTGAGTCTCTGGGATCATGGCTGTTAAGCAGCTTAATCAGGAGCCAGACAGGCCGTTCGTGGGCGATGACTTAGGGTCTCGTTGGGGTGGGGAGGAAAGGACCGGCTCCACCCCCATCCCTTGAGGCCCAAAATGTCTTGTCACTACAGGCCCAAACCTGACTGTCCAGTGGCCTCTGGAGGATTGCAGCCCCAGGACACCATGGGGGAGCAGGCGGAGGAACAGCACCATTTCCCCCGGGGTGGCCTAGACAGTAACCTACTGCGTGGTCCAGACGCATTTTTGCCAAAAGCCACTGGGTTTCGACATTTGTTTCTGAGTCTCTGGGATCATGGCCGTTAAGCAGCTTGATCAGGAGCCAGAGAGGCCGTTCATGGGTCCCTGTTGCTTTTGCCACTAAGCCTGAGCATTGGCACATTCTGGGTAATCACTGAGCTGTTCCCTCTGTTCTAGACACACCTTCAGTGGGGGGGGGGGGGGGGCGTTGCTCCGCATCTGATCCTACAAATTCTGTGTCTTGCCTCCAGCCTTGGAGGACAGACCCTCAGGACAGGGAGGCCCATTTCTTAGAGCCGGGCTGGAAGCAAGCGGGGGCCAGGCCAGCACCAACCCTGGCCCTAATTGTGCCGGGAGGTTGGAAGGGCAGCTTGTCTGCCGTTACAGTCTTAGTTTCTTTAATGAGAAACCTTAAGGGTGAGCACGATAATGATAACTATAACAGCAAAAGTAGTAACAATCCCCACGGTGCAGGGGTCTAAATAAAACACATGTAAAAGCAGCTTGAAATGGTGAAGTAGGAATTTTGTGGCATTACTGCATTATTTGGTCTGGAGCGATAGCACAGCCAGTAGGGCATTTGCCTTGCATGCAGTCCACATGGGTTTGATTCCTTCTCTCCTCTCAAAGAGCCCAGCAAGCTACCGAGAGTATTTTGCCTGCACGGCAAATATTGGCAAGCTACCTGGGGCTGGAGCGATAGCACAGTGCTAGGGCGTTTGCCTTGCACGCAACCAACATGGACGACCTGAGTTCGATTCCTCCGCCCCTCTCGGAGAGCCCGGCAAGCTACCGAGAATATCTTGCCCGTACGGCAGAGCCTGGCAAGCTACCCATGATGTATTCGATATGCCAAACACAGTAACAACAAAGTCTCCAATGGAGAAGTTACTGGACCCGCTCGAGCAAATCGATTAACAACGGGAGGACAGTGACAGTGACAGTGACCTGTCAAGTATTCGATATGCCAAACACAGAAACAAGGGTCACAATGGAGACATCACTGGGCCCGCTCGAGCAAATTGATGAACAACGAAGGATAGTGACAGTGACAATCTGTGAAGGAGGGCTCAGCATACTGATCTTGCTAGATTAAATAAACAAAACAAGATGGAAGGAGCAGGCAGTGTTACTGGGATATCCAGACTAGCCCGTGGCAGGAGGCAGAGCCCAGAGCAGAGGTACCTTTCGCCCAAATAGAGAAGCTCAAAGCCTTTACTGATTTTCTTGAAAGGCAAAACATGGTTTATCAGCTGGTCCAGGTCAAATTTCTTGATCAGGAAAAACAGCGACTAGTTTTGGAATGTCATCTCTGCTTTTCCAGCCTGCAAACAAGCACACGCGTCCTCCTGTGTGTGTGTGAGTTTCCTTCCCAGAGGGCTCTCAGCAGCGCAGAAAATAGATGTGTGTCCATCACGAGAAGCCCGGGCAGAGACATGCGTGGTGTGAAAAGGCCTTTGAGCTGGCTCCATCTCCCTGGTAGGCCAGCCAGGGTGTGGGGCCCCAAAATAGCACGGTGGGGGATATGGATGTGCAGAGAAGCCCTACAGAGAAGCCCTACGGAGAGCTGAGGGTGTATATAGGGCCCAAACAGACTCAGAGCAGAAGCAGAACGACGGTGTCTCGTGGGTTCTTTTGTCCCAGAAGATGGGCGTGGAGGGAGGTTTCCTGCCTGTGGCAGTGACCACCTGCCTGGAGTGCCCGCTGCTGAGTGGAGGAGCCTTCCCGTGTGTGATTGTCTACAGGGTCCCAGGGAGGCTGCCTCAGCCCCAGGCCTTCAGGGAGAGGAGAGAGAGGGAGGCTTGCTCTTGCCTCCACCCCAGACGGTGCCTTGTTTTGCTGCTTGGTTGGGAAGAGGCAGGCTCAGCCATAGTGGAGTAGGTGGGCGTTTGCCTTACACAAGGCTGGCCATATGTTCCCCGGGCCCCACAGGAGTGATTCCTGAGTGGAGAGTCAGGAGTCGCCCTGAGCATCACTGGGTGTGACCCCAAAAACAAAGAAACCAAACAACAACAACAAAGCTATGCCCAGGGATAGCCAGAGACAGGAAAGGCTGGACAGCACCTGGGGTCCTGGCCCTGTGGTCCTCCTGTTCCCGCTCTGAAGTGTAAGTATTTCTGCCTGCGGCCTTAGCTTATACTTGGCCATGGGAAGATGTTCCTGTTTCTCTCTGCCCTTACCCGTTCTCGGGGCCTGGGTCATCTTTGCCATTCCCTCCTCCTTCCAACCACAGCCCCTCCCGCTTTCCCATTCTGGACTCAGATCCAACCCTCGTCTGACTGTTTTCTGAGAAAATAGAAGTTCCTGAAGTTAGGAATCTTTTGTTTATTATAAAATCTGTTGATAGGGCAACAATCATATGTTCGAGACAGCAAAAAGTCCAGAAAGAACAATTTTTTTATTGCATTTGGAGACAGAGTTCAAAATACAGATCTTCCCTTGAGAGCAAGAAAGCATTAAAAATGCACACCATAAGCTTCTGTGTACTAAAAAAAAATCCAAACAAATTCTAGGGAGATAGACTTGGATTCAGAGCTGTAATTAAGAGAAATGGTTGAGCACCTGGTCCCCCAGCAAACAGACGCTTCCTGGGGTCCCGGCCACCCTGCGGCTGCTTACAGTTGCTCATTCTCATTCCTACACTTCAGCCCACTGTCTTACCTCTCAATCATCATAGACCTTATTTTCAGCTCAATGTAACAATTAAGATGATCTAATCAATAAAGCACTTCATGAGCAAAAATGCCAGATTTTCAAAATATTCTCTCAGGGATTGTTCAGTTTTCACAATTAATATCTGAACTTCATGTTTTATCATGTGAAAGCATGAAACTACTTTTATTTAAAAGAATATACATTTATATACTTATTATTTATAGAGGTGATTTACATATTCTTTTTATACTACACATTCAAATAGTAGAAAAGTATTATAAATGCTCCCTTCTAACATAGGAAATAGTAACAGTTGTCTAAAAAATTATTGCATTTGAAGTTTAAGATCCTCTCCACTTAATAAATCTGAATGTCTTCTTCCCTAGATGTACTGTTACCCATAGACTTTGGTGGATTTATAGAAAAGAAAATACAGACAATGGAAATAGAAGCAGAAAGTTTCAAATACAATTGTTCATCTTGATTACGGGAGCAAGTAGGTTACCATTAGGACATAGGGCAGCAAAGATACAAAAAAATGCAACAGGTGAAGAGAAACATCTTTGCTCAAAGGGGAAAATGACAAACTAAGAATGGCTAAGAAAGAAGTTGATCATATTTAGTTACCTGGCTGGTATTCCATCTAGCCCTCACTAAGTAAGGTCTCACACATTTTCTTGGAAAATGATTCCACATCAATCATTGATTTTGCAAAATACCCATGTGTGAATGATGACGGCGTCTTTGAAAACCAGAGTTAGTTGTGTCATTAAGAGGATGTTCCTCATGGCAGAAGGGCTAGGATGTTGCTCCCAGCAAAGGCAACTTTCGTGGGATCTCAGAACATCAGGACTGTACGGATGCTTAACAGGAAAGAGAAAATATGAAGTGCTTAACGTTGAGAGGTTGCAGAGTCTTCCAGGGGCATTTCCCAGGGGAAGGTGGCATGGACCCCCCCCCCCCCGCCCCCCCCTTCGTCTGCCAATGTCAAAAACCATCTGTGGCTCCTGGTTTCCTCCTGGGTCCCGTCCAACCTTTAGCTCAATCACACAACCTGAGCATGGATGTGGTTAGGCTTCGCTCTATACTAGCATCGTCACTAAAAGCGTGAGAGCCATGGTGCTCAGTGGGCTGACATGTAATGAGTTCTTGCGGTTGGTCACACATTTCATCACTCAACTTAAACAAGTACCGTCTAGGACTTCTACTATTATTTCCACTTCAGAGGTCAGACACTGAGATACTGAGAGCAGTACCTTGCTCCAGGTCATACATCTGAGTGTGGCTGCAGTAGTTAAATACAAAGTTGCACAAATTATAATTGATGGGTAACCCGGGTAATCTGACTGAAAGAATGAAAATTTAATAAAGACCATATAAATATGGTCTATTATAAGGAACTTAAAGGTTTAATAGAGCTTGATAAAGAATTTTCTTTTTCTTTTTTTAGCTTTTTTGGTCACACCCAGCAATACTTAGGGGGTTGCTCCTGACTGTGTACTCAGGAATTACTCTTGGTGGTGCTCGGGACACCGTGTCAGGCAAACTTGCTACCCTCTGTACTATGACCCCAGTTCCGATAAAGAACTTCTTGAGAAGTCTAGAAGCAGATAGTAAAGGTGTTTGAATTGTTCTCTAACAATTAATTTATTATCTCTAGTTTATTCTTGGGAAGATCAGAAACATAACCCCAGCTGAGAGATAATTAGGCTGGTATTTTTATGGTATTTTTCAGGTGAGGGGCTGTTCAGGTGGTGTTTAGGAGGCCTGGGCAATTGTTGGCTGATTGGGAAGGTGGTTCAGTTCGAGGCTGAGATGTGATGCTGCTTGGGCGGGCCTGTGTGCCAGGAATTTCCTGGACCACCTGATGGTGCTTTGGGACTTCTGGGGCTCAGGAGCTGCAGCTGATGGTTCCAGGGAAGGTGGTGCTGGGACCATGTGGTGCTGTTGGACCCAGGCTGGGTGCATGCCTCGCTGATGCCTTAACTGCTGCACTCTCTCCCGCCCTGAAATTTCTGTCAACTTTCCCCTATACACACATAGTTTCTCCTATACACTCATATCAAAGACTTGGGGTTTTATTGTAGAGAGGAGTTTGTGTTTTCAATTCTAGAACCCGGGTAACTTTTTAAAAATGGCATCACTGATTTTTTTGAATTTACTTAACCATCCCTTAATGATAAATTTTCTGATTTCTATATTTTTATGTTATAATAACTAATGTTTGAGAGAAAATATATTCACTCACATTTCTTTATCCTTGCAGACTAGATTTCCAGGCATAAAATTGCTTTAACAAAGGATATAGGTGTTCTGGTTGAATTTCTGATGCAAATAACAAAACTGCCTTGTAAGAAGGATGTTACTTGCATATTTGAGAGGCTAGAATACCTCCTTTTTCCTAAATTCCTTCCTGATGTATAGTGTTCAGTTCCTCCGCCCCTCTCGGAGAGCTCGGCAAGCTACCAAGAGTATCTCGCCCGCTCGACAGAACCTGGCAAGCTACCTGTGACGTATTTGATATGCCAAGCACAGTAACAACAGGTCTCATGATGGAGACGTTACTGGGCCCGCTCGAACAAATCGATGAACAATGGGAGGACCAAGACTGAGTTTCCTGAATAGTTTACCTCTTTCCAGAATGAAGCAGCTCAAATCCTTCATTTATTTTTTCAAAAGGTAAAACATGGGTTATTAACGAATCCATCGAAAACTTCTTAGCCATAAAATCTTCAACAAGTTTTGGGACAGAATCTCTACTCTTAAAGCCTGTTTGGGTGAAATGATACCATTGTTAGATTCTGAGAGGGGGATGAGTGTAGAATTTCTAAGGGAGATTTCTAGTAGTATTGACATGAAGTTTATAAAAGGTGCTACAAGCCACATGTACCTATTTGTTGAAGCTGATAAATAACCTGCTCAAATACCCTTTTCTGGTGCTTTGACATGGTTCTTATTCGCCCTACATAACCTCAACCTAGATCCTCAAGTATTTGTCCTTTTTACAGAGAAATTATAGCAGACATGGTTATTCCCAGAGTCAAGGAGCAAATTCAGACAGATCTGGTCAATGTGTGGACATGGGTTAGAATGATGTGTTTCCTGGGCTTGCTTGTTCCTGATGTTTCTGGTGCGAGAGCTCACTGTCAGTGACATTAGCCTTGTTAGCTTATGGGGGTGCCAGGCTAGTCTGTCTCATGATCTTTTGTGCTAATTACTCAACTAGTTGATTTAAGGTGGAATTTATCTGTCTATTTATTTAAATTTTAGTTTTTAAACCATGTTTCCTTTAAAAACCTGGTATTGTCACTTTATCTTATTTTTTTGGCTTTTCAGATCACACCTGGTTAGGCCCAGGGGTTACTCCTGGTTCTGCACTCAGAAATCACTCCTGGAGATGCCTGGGGCACCATATGGGGAGCTGGGAATCGAAACTGGGTTGGGTGTGTGCAAGGCAAACACGCTACCTGCTGTGCAATAGCAATAGCTCCAGCCCATGGTCTTGTCACTTGTTAAGGGAAAGAAGTCCCGAGGTTTTACTATAAAATTCGCCCCTCATGCTTAACCACATACCACCAAAGAGAGCTCCTTTCCACGTGCGTCCCGTCAGCAACAGCATGGGGTTCAGAGAAAGCATCTCTGACTTAGGAGCCACTCCAACAATGACGCTTACTCCATATGAGTCCTGACAGCACATCAGGGCAGCCATCTGGGGTAAAACGAACATGTCACACTGACGGGGAAAGACTTTGGGTATGTGGAGAGAGGAGAGCATTTTTGGGTCTCTAAAGCCAGTAGCTCCGACAATAGGAAATGTCTGGGAGATACTGTCTGGCTTTTGTTTCGATGATGCTGGGATCTCAACTTAGTGCTCACACATGCAGGATCACTCAACAGGTGATCCACCTACCCAGAAAATATTTTATAAGTGAGACAATGGATGAACAAATTTTGGTGAACTTAATTCTTATTTACAACTATCATCACAAACATAAAAATATCCACAGATTCTGTTTCTACAATTAAAGGTAGTGCTTTTCATCACATGTCTCTCAGCTAATCAGTGAGTTCAGTCATTTTTTAAAATTTTTCATTAAAGAATATTGTGAACTCAGTACTTTGAATCAGGTATTGTACTATCTAACAGCAGTTCTATCATCATTCCCCCCTCATGTCCACTGTTTTTATAGGACCCACCCTCAGCAATGTTCAGTGGTCCATCCTGGGATGGTTTGCTTGAGGGTTAGTTGCCTGGACAGGAAATGTTTAGGAGCCGCTTGGCATTTTCTGGTTCTTACCATGGTGTCGTGCCGACCAATGACTTCAAAGGAAAAGTCTACACCTCCTCCACTCATCTCCTTCAGCACCTCCTGAATGGGTTTCTGGAAGTCCATTGGGCTGATGCACTCGGTGGCACCCACCTCTTGGGCCTTTGCAAATTTGTCTTTGTTGATATCTATTCCGATGATCCTGGCTGCCCCCGCTACTTTACAGCCCATCACAACGGACAGACCAACTCCCCCAAGACCAAACACGGCGCAGGTAGAGCCTGGAGTGACCTGATTGACAGAAAACAAAGATGAACTAAGAAATGATTGATAGAAAGTTCCCAAGTTAAATTAAATTCCATTACCTCACCAGCCATCAGGAGCACCTAAGATTTAGGTTCTGCAGCCTGCTGTCACAACCTTTGTAGACTTCTGTTCCTTTCTTTAAGTGGCTTGAACTATATGGTTGGTTCTAGGGCTTTGTTGGACATTAGACTCCTCTATGGAACTTTAAAACATCAATGCTCAGGTCTTAGCCCATCTGCAATTCAACTAGAACTCTACAGGTGAGGCCCTAGGGAACCCTTATGGATGCCCAAACTGAATTGTATTTCAGTTCTAAATGTGAGGGATCCCCCCCACCCATGAAACTTCAGTGATGTTAGGAGCTAGCTTTTATGGCAAACACACACCAACATCATTTGGGATGTGTTGGGGACCTTTGTGCTGGAGACAGTTTCGCTCAGTCTTCTTCAAAGGCTTTGGAAAGCCCAGTAGCTGTGGCCACACACAGAGCAGAAATTAGGGGAGGTAGAGTTACTCTCAGCCTGGAGCAATCCTGCCATGTCACTGGAAGAGAGGAGGTCTCTGTAAGGATCTAAGAGACAGCCTGAGAGCAATAAGACCTGAGGGGTCTTCATTTCTCCTTGCCAAAGTGCATGTTGAAGAGGAATGTAGTGGGGAGTGGTCCTGATTTTAATTGGAATTACCCTTGGTTTTGGGTCTGTGTGAGGCTGTCCTTTCACCTGTTGAAACAAATGTGACAGCCACATAGGGACTTTTTCCTGTCCACAAACAGTTGGGGATTCCAGTGGTTAAGTTTACCTCCATTAGACTGCCAAGGGACGAGGGGTGGTCTTAGTAAACTGTGTCTTTAATTTGTTAGTCATCGGTGTGGATAAATATTCTTTTCATCTCACGTCATCATCCTCTGGAGTTCTATTTACTGTTAACCTCTTTGAAAAAGCTTGTGAATGATGCGTATAGGTGCAGGTAAATAGGGGTTAGGGTTAGTGTGCACAGGAGCTTTGACAGATGGGTTCTCATGCTAACCAATTGTGAGCTTTGGAGCAAATGACTGTCTGTACCTCAGTTCCACAAAGTCACAAAGTGAAGAAATACGAGAAGAGAAGACTTTAAGTTTTGTCCTTGCAATATATTGCTTCTGGAGTGTGTATTTGTGAGTGTGACAGTATACGTGCATACGTGTTCATGTGAGTGTGGCAGGGAGAAAAGGGAACAGTGAACCTCCCTAATTAATGAAATAAACGTGAGCTGGGTTACTGATCTGCCCTTCCTCATAGGGCTGAGTGGGGGGGTGTGTTGGTGCTGTTGGGCCTGGATGTGTTCTGGGGAGGCTTTGTAGTCCACTACTGATTTTAGTTCTTCCGGCATTGTGGAATAGAAACTCCTCTGAATTGGCACGTTCCGTTCCTGCAGTTTTGCAGCCTCAGAAATCAGCAGCCCCTTCCAGACCTGTGGGACCATGAAGTGATGCTAATGCTTAGTGATCCCATAGAGAGCAAGTTTAGAATAATATTGGAGGTCATCACCTCTTGAGACTTTCTTAACGCTAATCTGCCACCAACTTCATTCTCCCAGAGATCACTTGTTTCCTGAATCTGTGAGTACACCCATGCTGTTACGGGGGCCAGGGAGAGCCCCTGGAAATTGAGGTGGCTATGCTCTGATGATCTTGTGATTAATTGCTTTCCTTCTGTTTCCTGATAATTCACATGTAACTGAATTATTACCCATGTCATTCCTACCTTGGCAACTTTGGTGGCAGACCCGTATCCGGTAGAAAACCCACAGCCAATGAGACAGACTTTGTCCAGCGGGGAGGCAGCATTGATTTTGGCCACTGCGCATTCTTGCACCACTGTGTACTGGGAGAAGGTGCTGGTGCCTAAGAAGTGGTTGATGGGCTTCCCTCTGCAGGTGAACCTGGTGGTCCCGTCTTCCATGGTCCCACTCGGATTGGAAATGCTAGGAATACACACAGGCTGTGAGACAGGAGCATTCTCCACAAGCAAATTCACTTTCTCTAGGGGGTTGAATATTGGAAACGTACCTATTTTTCAAGCAGAAGTTGCCTTCTGGGTGCTTGCAGACCTTGCACGTTCCACACTGGGGAAGAAACACCGGGATGACTTTATCACCTGGAGAGGTAGAAATGAAACTTTTGTTCAGTGCTTAACCAGAAAGGACTAAGGGTGTGCTCAGAGCTTCTCAGGGCCTGTCATTGTGCAAAGTCTGTAGAGATAGGATGTGCCCACATGTGACTGGTTCTTGCTCTGCCACTGATCCTTGGAGGACTTGCCATGCCCTTGAATACTCCCAAGGGGCGGGGGGAAATGGCATGAATTTAATATTTTTTTCTTTAGTCGCACCCAGCGATGCTCAGGGTGTAATTCCTGATTCTGTGCTCAGAAATTACTCCTGGCAGCACTTAGGGGACTGTATGGGATGCCAGAAACTGAACCCATGTTACAGCATGCAAGGCAATACTGTATCTGCTGTGCTCCTGCTCAGGTAACAGGTGTGAATTTTTAAGAGCTTCACTGAGTAATCTTTTTTTTCCTGCGCTTGTTCCCATGGTGTTATATAAAGCTTCCCATTTAACACAGTGATAGCAAGGACTATCCTCAGTTGATGCTGGCATGAATCTGGGTTGTAAATAGTCACCTTCATTCCGTCAGGTATTGCATTTGTAACAGTTTGGAATATAGAGAAAAGGGGAAGTTGACATCTATTTCTTAGCTTGGCTTATTAACTGTGCTTCTCTTCATTACAAAATAATCACTTAAGAGCTTTTTAAAGGAAAAATCCCAAAGAATTCAAAGAAATTCCTTTGAAAACTCCAAGTCTTAATAATGAGCTTGTCAGAACAGCAGACCAATGGAACAGAGTTGAATATACTGACATCTGCCCCCAAACATATGATCACCTAATCTTTGATAAAGGAGCAAGAAATGTGAAGTGGAGTAAAGAAAGCCTTTTTATCAAATGGTGCTGGCAAAACTGGACGGCTACATGCAAAAAAATGGGCTCAGATCTCTGCCTAACACCATGTACAAAAGTAAGATCAAAATGGATTAAAGACCTCAACATCAGACCGGAATCCATAAGGTACACTGAAGACAAAGTCGGCAAAACCCTCCATGACATTGAAGCTAATGGTGTCTTCAAAGATGTCACGCCACTGGCTAAGCAAGTGAAAACAGAGATAGACAAGTGGGACTATCTTAAACTAAGAAGCTTCTGCATCTCAAAAGAAACAGTGACCAAAATACAAAGACAATGCACAGAATGGGAAAGGATATTCACCAAATACACATCCGACAAGGGGTTGATATCAAGAATATACAAAGTACTGGTTGAACTACACGAGAAGAAAATATCCAACCCTATCAGAAAATGGGGCGACAAAATGAACAGAAACTTCATCAAAGATAAAATCCAAATGGCTAAAATACACATGAGAAAATGCTCTACATCATTAATCATCAGGGAGATGCAAATCAAAACAACAATGAGATATCATTTTACGCCACAGAGACTGGCCCATATCCAAAAGAACAAAAGCAATCAGTGCTGGTGCGGATGTGGTGAGAAAGGGACCCTTCTTCACTGCTGGTGGGAATGTCGACTGGTTCAGCCCTTCTGAGAAACAGTATGGACGATTCTCAAAAAACTAGAAATTGAGCTCCCATTTGACCCAGCAATTCCACTCCTGGGAATATACCCCGGAGAGGCAAAAAAGTATAGTCGAAGTGACATCTGCAGTTGTCTGTTCATTGCAGCACTGTTTACAATAGCCAGAATCTGGAAAAAACCTGAGTGCCCAAGACAGATGACTGGTTAAAGAAGCTTTGGTACATCTACACAATGGAATACTATGTAGCTGTCAGAAAGGATGAAGTCATGAAATTTACATACAAGTGGTACTACATGGAAAGTACCATGCTAAATGAAATGAGTCAGAAAGAGAGGGATAGATATAGAAAGATTGTATTCATCTGGGGAACATAAAGTAACAAAATAGGAGATTAACACCCAAGAATAGCCGAGATAAATACCAGGAGGATTACTCCATGGCCCCGAGGACAGCCGCACACGCTAGGGGAAAAGGCAGCTCAGATAGAGAAGGGAGCACCAAATAAAGGGTGTTGGGAGGTTCCTCTCAGGATGGGAAATGCGTGATGAGAGTAGACTATAGTCCGAACAAGATTGCCACTCAATGTCTCTTTTGCAAACCACAGCACTCAAAAGGAGAGAGATAACGGAGGGGAATGCCCTGCCACAGTGGTAGGGTGGGATGGCGGGATGGGGGTGGGAGGGATACTGGGACTGGTGGTGGTGGAGAATGGGCACTGGTGGAGGGATGGGTATTCGATCATTGTATAACTGAAACCCAAGCACAAAAATTTGTAAGTCTACAACTGTACCTCATAATGTTTAACTAATAAAAAAAAATAATGAGCTTGTCACTTTCTTTTAAGGTATAAATTTATTTTCAAATATAGCTGATAATTTGTGAGTAATCTATTTTTCTTGCTATGATGGAAAGTAAGGGTGTCACTGATAGTTTGTTGCTAACTAAGGCAATACTAAGGAACTCAACCCGTACCATTAATTTTGTTATGTCTGTACACAAATTACCAATAGGTAGTAGTTCAGACTCACTAAATTCATTCTAATTTTTTAGATTTAAACATAATCTTTTCTATATCCACAACTCAGAGGAATGTTTGGGCATAGCATTTAATACACAAACTTTGTATGGAGACGATGATGGTACAGGCATTTTCTGTCTATTCATCGTTTTCCTCTGATCTCTAAAAATATTCATCTCATTTAAGCATGCCAAGTGAACTGAGTTGGAAGAGGAACAGACTGATCTCCCTCATACTGGGATATAAAGAGATGTAGTGAGAAAGTGATAAGTGCCCAAAGGAACTGAATTTGAGAACTGGTCGAGAGAAACAAGTTTCCCGTGGAAGGGGGGGGGCGTTATGGGGGCAGGGGACAGGATGGGGTAAGTGACCTTGAGGAGGGGCAGTAGAGGGCCTGGGGACAGGACAGGGCGGGGTGGGGGAAGTGGCCCTGTGAGGGTCAGGTGCTGGACATTGCTCCACAGTATCCTCAACCTCGGCGATGAAATGGAAAGAGCTTTCAGCATCTGTATCTGTGTCTGTATAAAGCGACTGAGAGTAGCACACAATCAGATATAGACAACTTTGTCCCCAGCTCTCTAGCCCTGGCTGGGGCAGCCACAGTGGCCTTGCGGCAGCCCTCCTGCGTAGCTGGGCGCCCTGGGGCGTGACTCAGCAGCGAGGTTTCTGTGTCCAGCCGTCTCGTGTGGGCTGCTGGGAGCTGGAGGACTGGGGGACAGTGGAGTTTCTGTACCTGGTTTGACGCTCGTCACACCTTCTCCGACGCTCTCCACAATGCCGGCACCCTCATGGCCCAGGACTGCGGGAAGTGGTGTGGAAAGGGAGCCGGCCTTGGCATGGTCATCTGTGCGACAGATCCCTGTGGCCACCATCTGCAGGGGAGGAGGGGGACTGGACTTGCAGTGAGGCAGGCGACAGCCCTTGGACGGGTGGAACAGAACCAGTTTCTTAACATCGGGTGCCTTAAGAGGCTTTTTTTTTTTTGACGGGAATGGGTGATTATTATTACCTTAACCATCACTTCTCTTCCCAAAGACAGAAAGGTCCATGTTGTTCCAAGATTATTTAACCTAAAACTTTCATTTCTGGAATTAAATAGTACTAGAGGCTACTACAATGGTCAGGCTGCAGGCTTGGCAGGGACCTGGCTGTTGCTCCAATCCCGGGGCCCCAGGGTCTCTGAAATCAAGGTGATCAGCATGGCAGGTGGCTCGGATAATCCCCGGCACTGCTGGGTCCCAGCCCCATTGCGTCCTCAAGCCTTGCTTGGAACTGAGACTCGGTTGCTGAGACTCACTGTGGCACCTCCAGCCTCCTGAGCACGGCTTGGAAGGCCCCACCACAAAAGCATCTAATAATGAAATTTTCGTTATTTCCAGTTTTATTATTTTATAAAAATTGTTTCTGTTGTAGTGCTTGGGGGTGATGCTCAGGAGTTACATGGATCTAGGGGTCAAATCCAGGCCCGCACAGGATCAGGGCACATCACCACAGAGTCTCATTCCTCATCCTCAGAAATGCTTTTTTAAACTAAAATTAAACAGAAACGGTGAAACGTTTTACCTTAATACGAACTTCATGAGCCTTAGGGGGTGCGACCTCCACCTCCTCGATGGCAAACGGCTTCTTCAGCTCCCAGAGCACAGCGGCCTTGCACTTGATGACCTGCAAGTAAACAGTGGACGATCCCAGTCCTTCCCCACTTCTAATATAGGGACTGTGTTTTTAGGGTCATCTTATGTGGAACATGTATTACAAGACAGGTACTGAGCAAGTCCATAGACACAAACCACTTTGGAAGAAAAACATGGAAAGCAGTAGGATATGTCATTTATCCATAGCTATAGACTTGCACATGAAGCTCCAATCACCATTATTTCGCTTAGATTCAGTGACTGTTCACTTTTTTTAAGTGTTTAATTAATTAATTTATTTTTCTTCTTATATTTATTTGTTGAATCACTGTGGGAAAAGTTACAAAGCTTTCAGTTTTAAGACTAGGTCATACAATGATCAAACACCTTTCTCTTCACCAGTATTCAATTTTCATCCAATATACCCCCAAAGAACCCCAATATATCCCCTCCCACCCCTCCCAATCAAAGCATGTGAGGCAGATGATTTCTACTTAACTTTTCTCTACAGCACAGCGGTAGGGCGTTTGCCTTGCACGCAGCCAACATGGCCGACCCGACTTTGATTCCTCCGCCCCTCTCAGAGAGCCTGGCAAGCTACCGAGAGTATCTCGCCCGCACGGCAGAGCCTGGCAAGCTCACCGTGACATATTCGATATACCAAACACAGTAACAACAAAGTCTCCAATGGAGACGTTACTGGGCCCGCTCGAGCAAATCAACAACAACGGGAGGGCCTTTACTTTTTACTTTACATTGGTTACATTCATTATTTTGACAAAAGATGCACCATTATTGTTTAGAATTTCCCCGCCCCCCCCAACAATCAGAATTGCTGAAAAGGCATTGTGAAATACTTTGTCTTCTATAGCTGGTTATGAGAATCATATAATGTCGTGTGGCCGCTATTGTGGCTGCGTCGATTTTGAATTTCTGCAAAGAGCCAGATAATTACGAGATTGGTTTCTGTGCATCTGGTGTTATGGCTGTGCTGGAGAGCCGCTCGTGGGGGGCAACCTGTGACCTCGGTAGGGCGTGAAGGACGAGCCGGTACTACCCCCCTTCCCATGAGATTGCAGTTGCCCTGTCACCACTAGCTCATACCTGGCTTTCCTATAAGCTCCGAGGCAGCGGTCATCTTGCTGCTGGGGGGGAAAGGCGGAAGAAAGAAACACCCTTTCCCTCCCAGGGAGGCATGGCGCCATAGTTTAACACATGGTCTATTCACTTTTTTGCCACAAGCTGCCAGTCTCTGGACTAAGTCCTTTTGCCTCTGGAGCCATGGCTGAGCCAGAGTCGCTCGTGGGAGGCACCTCATGACCTAGGTAGGGCGTGAAGGATGAGCCGGTACCTTCCCCCTTCCCATGCGACTGCAGTTGCCCTGTCACCGCCAGCTCTTACCTGGTTTCCCAATAAGCTCTGAAGTGGTGGCCACTTTGCTACTGGGGGGTGAGGGAGGCGGAAGGGAGCAACACCCTTTCCCTCCCTGGGAAGCATGGCACCGTAGTTTAACACATGGTGCATTCACTTTTCTGCCACAAGCTGCCGGGCTCCTGATTAAGTCCTTTTGCCTCTGGAACCATGGCCGTGCCGAAAAGCCGTGCCGAAAAGCAACTCGTGACCTTGGTAGGGCATGAAGGTCGAGCCGGTACCACCCCACTTCCCATGAGCCTGCAGTTGCCCCGTCACCACCGGCTCATACCTGGCTTTCCAATAAGCTCTGAGGTGGCGGCCACCTTGCTGTTGGGGGTGAGGGGGAAGGCAGAAGGGAGAAACACCCTTTCCCTCCCGAGGAGGCATGGCACTGTAGTTTAATGCATGGTCCATTCAGTTTTCTGCATGCTGCTGAGCTCTGGATTAAGTCCTTTTGCCTCTGGAGCCATGGTCATGCTGGAGAGCTACTGGGGGGGAGGGGTCAACTCTTGACCTCGGTAGGGCGTGAGGATGAGCCAGTACCGCCTCCCTACCCATAAGACTGCAGTTGCCCCCTCACTGCTGGTCCTACCTGGCTTTCCAATTAGCTCTGAGGCGGTGGTCACCTTGTATGCGGTCCAGATGCATTTCTACCAAAAGCCACTGGGTTTCGAGATTTGTTTCTGAGTCTCTGGGATCATGGCCATTAATCAGCTTGATCAGGAGCCAGAGCAACCACCTGTAGGCGGTGACTCAGGATCTCGTTGGGATGGGAAGGAAAAGGCTGGTTCCACCCCCATCTGGTGAGGCCCTGCGTGTCTCGTCAATGCAGGCCCCAGCCTGACTGTCCAGTGACCTCTGGGGGATGGCAGTCACCGGGCCACCTGGGGGGAACAGGCCAAGGCAAGAAACCTATTCCCACCTGGATTGGCCCAGCACCAGTAACCTACTGCAGGAACAGGCTGCATTTCTACCAAAAGCCTTTGGGTTCCAAGATTTGTTTCTGAGTCTCTGGGATCATGGCCGTTAAGCAGTTCGATCAGTAACCAGAGAGGCCATGCCTCCAATTATAGATGAGCTAGAGGTGGTTTGTGGGTGTGTCTCCCACATACCTAACTTTTGGCCGCTTACTTTCTTGGTAAACTTTGTCCCAAGTTTTTGGGGTCTGGCCAAAGGCACAGAAGCAATTTTGGGGTATTTGAAAGTCTGACGGTGCCATCAGGCTGCTGATGCATTCGCCTCACAGGTACAGATTGACCAGCTGGTGGCACCATATCCCCAGTTACTGTTCACTCTTTTTCTCTGTTCTGTGCTTCTGCCAAGCAATCTTTTTGTTTTGTTTTGTTTTTATTTTGGGGTTATATCCAGCAGAACTCAGAGCTTATTCCTGGCTCTCTGTTCAGGAATCAACTCCTGGTTGGCCGGGGACCGTGTCGGGTACCAGGGATCAAACCTGGGTCAGCTCTATGAAAGGTAGCACCCTACTTGCTCTGATGTGACTCCAGCCCGTCTGCTCAAATCTGATCGGGCGGTTTGTCCACAGAGCCTGACTTTCACTGTAGTGAGAGACGAACCAAAAAAAAGTGAATAATAATAGAAATAATGATAACACTGAGTAACATCATTGAATAGTTTCCATGCACCAAGCACTTTCCTAAGTGCTTTTATCAGTTTACCAAATCCTCAAATATGTTCTAGTAGTCTTACGACTTCTAGCATTTGCAGAAAATAGAATCTAGGAAGGGTGAATATAAATGGTGTGTTTCATTATTGATGTTTTACCTGAGGTGTGAGAATTGGTTGCCAATGATTTATTATTCTCACCAAGACTTTTGATGTACTCTTGGAAAGAAAGGATTTTGGAGACCAAACTGAGTTTTAGTGGATTTATCTCTTTCCTAACTTTGATGTTTATCTTTGTTATTAATTCAATTAAAATGTAATATGCCATTGTAATGTCAACCTGTAACAAATAAAAAAGTGGAAAATGAAAATCATAATTGGCTAACCATATGATCTCCAAGAATTTTATTGCTAAAGCTCCTATAAGGTATGCTGTACTACAGAGTGTACAGAAATCTCAGATTCTTGAAATTGATTTATGGAAGGCGTTGCATTTTGTGACTATATAATCAACCCACTGGAAACAATTCTAGTAACTTTCTTGACTGTACATACCAGTTTGCACACATGGTACAAATAAATGTGAATCCACAGAATAGTTTGAACCAAGTAACTCTGTCCTTAGCTAATAATTCATTTAAAGCTAGTCATTATCAATTTTTTAAAGTATTCGCTTTTGTATGGAGGAGAAACTATTTTAGAGGGTTTCTACTGAAATCTTCTGGATTGTGTCACAATCACATATTGACCTTGGTTTGCTTAACTTGGATTCCAGTTATTTCAGATGAGTTTGCCTTTTGTAAGACATTTCACATTCAAGTTCAAAAGGCCTTTCAAGGTCCACTGAATCAAATTCTTCTCATGGAGTTTTCATCAGACTTTAGTTTTCGTTGCTAATAATAATATTGATGATTACAATGAGTAAAACATTTAAATTATATTTCTCAACTTTATTAGAAATGTTTGTAACTTTATATTTACAAGTTACCTTTGACAGACTTTAAGCATCACAACGCATTTAATATGAGAATTTAAGACTTCATAGTATAGATATATATTTTTTGTGAAAGCTATTTCAGTTGCAATTAAATATATACTTTCTGTCATAACATATGTTTTATGTTATAGTTCCATTATTATTGTTTCTATGTTAGACATGAGATTTAAATGAGACATTTAAGATGATATCTTCTTTTATATTATACTAATAAAAATACTTTTCCCCAAATAAAGATTTGTGCTTACTTTTCCTGCTGTGCTCATGTTTTTGGTTCTTTGCTGGTGAATTCTTGCCACGTCTTGCCACGTTTCTGCTGGAGTCTATAGAGTAGATTTATTGCACAGGGATTTTATATGCTTGAGTAACACCCAACTCCACACACGTGATCTGGGATCTTAAAGCAACACTCATCAGCTTATTCATAGACCAAATCAAAATAAAATGACTTTGAATATGTTTTCAAATTTGACTTCTTTTGAAATATGCCAGTTTTAAATAACATTTTTATTTCATTAGGTTGGAAATGTACATATTTCTGGGTGCTGTGTTTCATAATTTCTTACTTTTCCAATAAACTTTTCTTTAGATACTTCTCCTGAAGACTATGAAGGTATCACTTCCCTGATAGATTTTTTTTCTTGCTTAGAATATTCTTATAGACTTTTCTAATCAGATCTCTTCTAACAATGGAGGTTTCTTATTTCTCCTTACTGAATATTTTTCTCCTCACAAGCCTTTTATCCTCTAGAGTATTCTCAAATTTTTGTTTCCTTAAGGATACCTTCTCAAAAAAAATTTTTTTTACCTCAGAATTTGCTTTGCTCAAGTTGTCAGACCACCACCCTTAGTAAATCTTCCAACTCAAATATTTCTCATCAGGGACTTTGTCAGGAGCTCTGTTCCAAATAGAATTTGTCCTGTGAGACTTTTCATGTATGTACTTTTTTCTTCTCAGAACTCCTCTCACAATGGACATTTCTGTTTTTCTACTTACTACCTTTACCTCATAAACACCTTTCCCAATATAATTCATGCCTCAGATGTTCTGCTTTTAAACTTTTCATAGATTTTATACCCATCAGACTTTTCACTAAGACATTTCTCCTAAAATAATCATTCTCAGACAATTTTTCCTCACCAGACTCCTTACTGAATAGGTTTCTTTCCTTAGAGAGTTTTCATTTTGGGGCATGAGACATGTGGACTACATCCATTGATTCTTAGGGTTACTCCTGGCTCTACACTCAGGAATTCCTCCTGGTGGTGCTTGGGGGACCATATGAGGTGCCGGGGGTTGAACTGGGTTGGCTGCATATAAGGCAAGCACCCTTCCTGCTGTGCTCTCTTGCCCCCAGTGTTTTCGTTTCTTCCTTTTGATTGCGGTGCACTCTCAGGCAGTTCTGGGAGATACCAATGCAATGCCTGGCAATGCCAGGTGTTGCCAGGAATTGGACCCAAAGCTCTGCACAGACCAGGAAAGAGTTCCAGCTCTTAGAGCGCTCTCTCTGGCCCTTGGGAAGCTTTCTTTCCAGTGGATTTTTTCTTCCTACTTTTTCCATACACTTTCCTGCTCAAACATTCCTATCAAAATACTTTTTCACTTCACATGTTACTTTAGAGAATTACTCCTCAGGATCTCCATTCCACATAGTTAATAATTTTTTCATCTCAGAGTTAAAACTGTGTTGTCCTGTGTGCACACAGATAACATGAGCATGCGGTCAACACAGTGCACAAGGGTAACCTGGTACACATAGGACAACATGCTACACACAGGACAACATATGCACTAAGACAAAATGGTACACACAGGCCAACATGCTATACACAGGCCAACATGCTATACACATGACAACATGTGCACACATGACAACATGCTATATACAGGACAACATGGTGCACACAGGACAACATGCTACACACAGGACAACATACAGAGGACAACCTGCTATTCAGAGGATAACATGTGCACACAGGAAAACATGCTACACAGAGGACAACATGGTGCACACAGGACGACGTGCTGCACACAGAACAACATGCTACACACAGGACAACTTGTGCACACATGAAAAAATGCTGCACACAGGACAACTTATGCACATAGGACAACATGTGCACACAGGAGAACATGCTATACACAGGACAACATGCTGCACACAGGGTAACATATACACACAGGACAACATGCTACACAGAGGACAACATGTGCACACAGGACAACATGCTACACACTGGACAACATGTGCTCACATGACAGCATGCTGCACACAGGACAACATGCTGCACACAGTTAACAAGAGCATGCGGGTCAACACAGTGTACGGGGTAACCTGGTGCACATAGGACAACATGCTACACAGGAAACATGCACACTGGACAAAATGGCACACATAGGACAATATGTGCACACAGGACAACATGCTACACACAGGATAACATATGTATACAGGATAACATGTTATACACAGGACAGCATATGCACACAGGAAAACAAGCTACACTCAGGACAATGTGCTACACGGAGAACAACATGTGCACACAGGACAACATGATACACACTGGACAACATGTTCACACATGACAACATGCTACACACTGGACAACATGGTGCACACAGCACAACATTCTACACAGAGGACAACATATGCATACAGCAGAACATGTGCACACAGGACAACATGCTATACACAGGGAAACATGCTACAGGAAGATATGCTACAAAAAGGCCAACATATACACACAGAACAAATTGTTGTACACAGCATAACATGATGCACATATGACAACATGGTGCACACAGGATAACATGTGATAATATGGTACACACAAGCTAACACAGTGCTCACAGGATGACACAGTACATACAGGACAGCACTGTGCATGCAGAATATCCAGTGTGTGCAGGATGCCAGGGTCCACACCGGACGGCAGGAGCAGGAAGATAGGTATGTCCACTGTTGCACCATGGAGTTCAGTACCCCCAAGGTCACCGAGGGCAGAGACCTGCAGACCAGCAGAGAGGAGGAGATTGTTTCTCCAGGACGAGCTTGGGAAGAGGAGGGGGTCGAAGAGCAAACATTCTAGGGAGAAAGAGCAGGGCAGGCACAGAGGATTAGGGTTCCCATTGGGGCCCACAGTGGGAGCCAGCGGGAGCGGAGGGGGGGGGATCAGCCAGCCCATCACAAGGGCCTTGCTGACCTTCCAAGTGTGATTGAGATGGTTCTCAGCAAATGAGTGATTGTCAGCTTTGCTTCTGATGCCTCCCTGCATCAGAGAGTAATAGGCTGTGATGATTTCTAGGTGCTTTGAGAATTGCCACAGTTAAACAGGAGATACTGAATTTGATTCACAAAGGAGTGCCCTATACTGTTCAGGAAACTCAGTTCTTCTGTTTTAAATCTAGATCAACAAACTGGATAAAGGAAAGTGAACTTCTACTTTTAAATGTTTTGTTTTGAACAAAAAGGCTAGTAGAGGCAGACGTAGATATGACAGTGCAGTTGTACCAAGTTAGAAACTTTTGTTGTTGAGAGAGTCATATTTTACTGAGTGGAGTGTTAAGAAATGTACCACTGGTCATTCTAGTTGTACTTTTGCACTCATTTAGTACTATCCAGGGTCCACACCAGTTGGCAGGAGCAGGAAGACAGGTATGTCCGTTGTTGCACCATGGAGTTCAGTATCCCCAAGGTCGCCGAAGGCAGAGACCTGCGGACCAGCAGAGAGGAGGAGATTGTCTCTCCAGGACGAACTGGTATTGAACTGAGATATAGCCTGGTATATGAACTGGTAATGTATTGAGATATAGCCTCCTGGAGCCTTCTAATAGGTTTTTCCAGCTTCATCTAGTTATGTAAGAAGGATTCTAAGAAATGATTAACTGTTCTCTTGCTCAGATCCCTACTTTTCCCTCAAATCAACACTTGCACCATGCAGAGCTGATCCCAACTTAATCCCAGCTAATTTATAACAAGTGTTTTTTTTTTTAAGAAAATGTTTGCACTGGGGGCCAGAGAGAGAGCTCCAAGGATCATGCATGGGGGTCAGCTCTGGACTTTAGCACATGCCCCCAAGGGTCTCCAGGGGGAGCGCTGGGAAAGGCCAGGGGTAGGTCTGAGTCACACTGGGCATGACCACAAATATTTACATTTGAATCAAGAGAGGAATAGTTACAATGTGCTAAAGACCAGCCATACAATGATAATTACTTTGGGAAGTAAATTTATATCCAGCAGTTACCACTCAGGAAGGAATGGAGTCTCTGTGTATGCTCTATCTGCTCTGCTTCATGCCCATTGGTTAAGACTCTTCCCCAAATATTCCCCAAAAAGAATATAAGCATGCCCCCAGATATATGATTACAGCCTTAAAACGTGCAAATTACATTTTTAATTTATTATTTATTTATTTTTGCTTTTTGGGTCACACCCAGCGATGCTCAGGGGTTATTCCTGGCTCTGCACTCAGGAATTACACCTGGCGGTGCTTGGGGGACCATATGGGATGCAGGGGATCGAACCCAGGTCGGCCGGGTGCAAGGCAAACGCCCTACCCACTGTGCTATCGCTCTCGCCCCGCAAATTACATTTTAGAGATTCTCCTCCTGCCACCCCCGCCCCATTGTTCTTGTGTGTGCTCATAAGGTTCTCCAGACCAGTTTCACAGAGGCTGTTTCTCTTCACCAAGTCTCCTTCTGTGAGTGCCTCTGGGCTCGAGGAGGGCCGTGGGGGAGGAGGCCCCCGCTCCCTCTGGCCAGTGTTGACTCTGGCCACCGGAATCTAGAATGTCAGGACGGTTTGGATGCTGGAAGGGAAAGCGACAGTTTCCAGTGAGTGACTTGTCCCCACCAGGAGCAGCCTGAGCAGTCTCCTTCCTATCTGTTCCGGAAAGTCCTGGTATTTTCAGCCCCTGCACGTCCCTTGTGGTGATGCCTGGTTCCTACTCTCCAGGTGTGTGTCTCTGGCCAGTGTCTGGCTCTGCTGGACTGTCAGCCAGGTCCTGAGGGCTGCCTGGAGGAGAGGGCCTTCCCGATGAGAAAGGCAATAGACCAGGAGAGTGAAGGGTCGGGTGCTCACCCTGCCTTGCACAGGCATCCAGGATCAGAGAGGTGAGAACAGAGACCTGTTCCCTGGACCAGGCACATGGAGGCTTCAGTGTGCCGCCGTCCACTCACAGTCCCTGCAGTAAGGGTGTACTTGGGAACAGACCAGATGCTACTTTGGACACCCAGTGACTGTTTCTGCAAGTTAACAGTAAGTTACTAGTTCTGGGAATGGAGGGAAAGTTTATGAGTGGTCGTGACAGTTAATTTTATTCTTTTCTGGCTTAAAAGTGG